TCTGAATGGTGGCTTAAAACTTGTAATGGCATTGATTAAGAATGTATTTGGGGCTCTCTGTGCATAATGTTTGAATGTGTATCACAGTGTTTATATGTCCCTTTGTGTTCTCGTCTACAACTGCACTGATTCATAGTCTTGCCGTGTGTCTGTCAGCAGTGGACTTCTGTTTAACGGCCTCAATATGTCCCTTATAAAACAGATACATGGCAACTATCGGCCCCTCCCCTTACCCCGACAAAATTTCTACCAGGTACAGTTGTATGAAACGCCTACCGTCTGCATACTTGGGTCTGTGTACAGGGGCTGGACAGAATAACAGGAACACATTACAATGTAGTACGGTAGTCACAATCTACTAATCTAAAGGTCGTATTTGCTGCAGGGTTTCATATACATTAGATTGTAGGTGTTCCTGTTACTTTGTTAGCTACTGCTAGCTGCATGAGAAAAGTAAGTCCTGTATAAAACAAATAAAATGACTGAATAAATTGGATTTTATGTCCAAATTTATTTGCCAACAAAACTTGAGCTCTTCTTCATATTAACAAAAACATGATGTTTATTGAGTAGAGTTTACCAAGCCTAAGCCTCATGGGTAGGGCTGGTGAACTTTTTTGTTACACATCTAAATTTGTCTGTTGAAGCAAGTATTTAACAGATGCATGGACGTTTTGGTGAGATTTGCTGGGTTGTTTACTTGTTCTGAGATTTTATTTTCCCTTATTTAAATCCAAATTTAGGCAATTTTAGACTCATTATTGAGACAAAGTTCTTGTATGGCTGCTTGTGTTACATTATTTAACATTTGAGTTAGAGTAGAGTTTATACTGTACTGTGCAGCACATACCAATTTCTTGTCCCTTCAAGTATAGGTAGAAAATACAGAGCAGAGGCTAACCTGGAGGCAGAGCCAGCTGTTTTTAGCTCAGTGGGTAGAGCATGGATGCACACTAACCCCACGAGGCTCCACTTTTGAATTCTCCCTGAGGTCACCTGTGCCACTTATGGCACAATGTGGGAGGCATGTGCCAAAAGCAGCTTGAACAGCATGTTTGCAGTGTGTCAGTGGCTGGACAGTGTGATAACTATAAGTAGAGAGTGCTCTGCTGTACAGGAGGCATGATGAGGAATGTAGGAATGTAGGAATGTTGCCGTTTGCATAGCAGACAGAAAGCTTGCAAAGGGTTTGGGTGGGTCTCAGGTGAGCACCGAGAGTTCAGTCTGGTGACAGAGGAAACATCTGCTTTAGTTTAGACGTACATATGAAACACATGGATGAGTCCAGGAGCAGATAATTGTTGTTGTTAGCTCTATGTCTCTAAATTTATTTTTTATTTTTTATTTTTTTATTTTTTACAAATTTAAGAAAGCCACCAAGATAATATCATATTTTATTTAAGAGTACGGTACAGGAAAGATACCTCTACTCTATGGCATGTTTTTTGTATTATTGATCTGTTATAATCTAAGTAATCTTGTAAACATACTATATAGTTCCCGCCCTGTCTGTTATACAGTGCATAGTTTCCCTTAATGGGCTGTGAATGAAATAAACAGTCTGTTTGTTTTGCCTGAAGTATTTGGGTGGTTTGCTGTATGTGCTGCCTCACCTGTCTTTGTTAACTGGCATCACATACAGTGAAGGAAGGGCTGCTGGTGGACTTGTGTCCAATTGTGCAATTGTTCTGATGTCAGACTGAGGGAAGACTGTTTTGTTTGTGTGCAGTTTTGAAGCATGCTTTCAAAATAGATCTCTTTGGTAATGCAATTGCACATTGATGCTAATTTATGCAGTAATACATGCATTTGTTCTGACCTCTAGTAAGTGAGCATGTGTATGAGGGGTTAAAGAGCACAATGCACTTTACCTCGAGATCAGGCAAATGAGTCACTAAATCCTCTTGGCCAACTTCCTTTGATTTCAACCAACATGTTTAAAATGTACTGAGGCTTCTAAATTTTGTTTGGACGTAGTCTTCAATGTGCATGTCTTTAAGGGAAAGTATAGAGCATGATGTCATTCCTTTCATCACTGAGGCATAATTTATTTATTTCTGATGAGACAGCTGACATCACGTCTCATCACGTCTCATTATGTCTCATCATGTTTAGACAAGAAGATGAACACTGCTGTGACCACAATCCCTTTAAACAAATGAGATTAAAGCTACTTGTGTTTCTTTAAATTAGGTCACTGTTGTACCCAGTGGTAGGCATCAAACCTCAGTACTACTTTAGCAGCACCCGAATTCTGTCCTAAATAACTGTTAAGTACCCAAAGTTTGATATAAAAGAGAGTCCTCCTTGTGTTTATTTACTATTTATTAGATATTGCTTTACTTCCTAAATCAGAATTTCCTCATGGATATATCTAATATGTGAGATATGATGTACATGTGTATATATTATATATTTATCTTTATTACCCTTTATGTTATTTTATTTCTGGTGTAGCTGTTTGTATTAAGACAACAACATGAATGTATGAAGTATGTTAAATAAATAGTTTGACATTTTGGGAAATATGCTTATTCATTTTCTTGCCATAGCTGCCACAGCCAGCAGCTAGTTAGCTTAGCTTCTTCCTTTTTCAGTTATTCAGTTTTTTTGTGTGGTAACTGGGTAAATATTTACTGCAGCAACTGGAGTAACAATACAGTACTTCCCCATTGTCGGGGGATGCCCTAGCTGCCTGTGACCTCACATCCTCCCTTGTGCCACTTCCTCCATATTCTCTCTCCAAACAGCATCATGTTGCCTCTTCAGTCATTCAATTTATAATATGATTTTTATTTATTCTCTTCTCAGAAAACTATGTCAAAAGAGGAAGTAAAATAGGACAGGACCCATATTATTGTTAATTTGACTTCTATTAATGTCAGTGATGTTCACACTCGTGTCTTTACATAGATTGAGATTTTATAAATACATATTGAGGGTTTGAGGAAACATTTGAGCCTCAAAGCTGCCTTACAGTTGATGCAAAGCTAGAGTAAACACTGTGTGTGATTCACATGCTGACATCGAGCTGCGTTGTGACCTTCTTTGTGTTAAATGTAACACCAGCATGTGAGGCAATCGCTATCAGTGCTGTGCTGCAATCATTTCTAAATCTGAGGTGCCAGATTACAGATGGTTCAGAGTGGTGCAATTCATGCTGTGGTCTGTCTCTCTGTGTCTCCTCCCTCCTCCTGTTCGTCTGCGTTTCCCTTCACTTGCTGTAGTCATTCACACACATACAGCCTGACTTTACTCTCCATTCTGCCAGCTCAGTCTAATGCACAGCTGGCTTGACAGGTTAACTCACTCAGAGGCTTACAAGGTGCTCAGACGGGGAATAATGATAATTGTTAGACTCTACATTATCTGAACAGATGCAGAAACAGAGTAATGTTCACTAACTGGCTTGGTTGGCTCTGACTGTACAATGATACAACAGCACACAATAACTTGGGCTGGTTGTGAAACTCACTGCAGTAATTCTGACCTGGTGTCTGTGGGGTGGAGGCTCTGTGCTCTTTATTCACACCACCTGAAAGAACTGGGCTGGGCTCTGAGGCATACTGGGCTCCACCTGGAGACCGCTGCCTGCCTTTAAAACACTCAACTGCAGGCATGGCTGCCTTCAAAAAGGAGTATACTATGTAGTACACTGTTTGAACGCTTCTGCCAAACTAGAAATGCAGGTATCCTTCTATACAATTAGAGCAGGGCAGATACTTTAAAGGGATATGTTTAGGATTTTTTTCTTAATTCTTCCCATGATAAGAAGTTTGTAATAACAGTCCGGTATATTGAACAGTTGGCCAAGTTTATTTTAAACATATCTGTCCTGGTGTATATGTGGCCTTAACTCTACACACAAAGTGAAAAGACAGAAAATGTGCACTACAGAAATGCCACAAATACATTTTTAAATAGTAAACATAGTTTACATAGTTTGTCCTTGTTCTGACAAGTTTATTTTTTTGTTCTAAAATGTGCTATGTATGTTCCTAACATCAGAGTGTGTAGAACATCTCCAGCTACAGCAGAAGTGATGGGCTTTGTGTTACAGATGGAAATATTAGTGGTATATTGATTCAAAAACTAACAATAAAACATTTGGAATGGATGGTGGTAGATAATAGACAAAATAGCATAGTCACCCGCATAACAAAAGACTCTATTTATTACATTTATTAAAGCATGAACAAGACTTAATAACACCTTTTGTAAGGGGAGATACATGAACACATGTGACTAGTGTTTAATTTCTGATCTGGTCAGGTCTTCCCTTTATACACATTAACTAAGTTTGTAGTTTGTTGGCCAGACTAAACTCAGATCCTATTGAGAGGAAATCTAAGCTGTTATCTTAGATTTCCTCTCAATAGGATCCACTGACACTGTGGATGGAGGAAGTACTGCACATCACAGACATCTCTGCCATTTACGTGTGTGAGAAAAAAATGGCTGCATCCAAGCCTTAAGCTGTGGAATCAAAGGCTTGATCTCTTTGATGGAAATTATCTCACTGTTAATTTCACACTGTGTGATGTCAGCTGAACAGTAACTTGTGAATCCCACATTCATTGTCAGTGTTGCTGTTGTTGTTGTGGCGACCACAGAAAACAATAATACTCGGCCTCTTTGCTCTGCTGTCACACAGTCGCACCCATCAGTCTGGAATGTAGAGCTTGAATCAACCACCCCTGACTGCTGCGTGATGGATGTGTTTGTCCTTTTTGCGGCAGCACATTACTCCACTGTAGTAGATGTGTTCTGTCTTTACCTGTCTGTAAAAAAAGTACAGTTCAAAGTTGTTTTCCTCCCCATCCAGAAATGCACTGCATGGAATGTTCAGCTTTCCACGAATGTCAGCTCTTGTGAAACCGAGATGTTGCTCTGTGTGAATCTTGAAATGATTATTGTGTTTTCTAGTTAGATTTTTTCACTGCACATGCTTAACGTCTGTCTCTCTTTCTCTCTCCATTTTTGTCTCTTTCTCTCTGTAGTCGCAGCCGAGCCAGCCCACACCCAAACCGGCAGCTCAGGTCTCCACCGTGAAGCCTGCACAGTTTGAGGTATTGAACATTCCTCTTTGATAGCCTTTAACCTTTTCTCTCCCTGCCGCTTTCTCAGATGGAACTCTTTTGTCAGCTTCTTATGTTCTACGAGTGGATTGTTATCTCTCATGACCTCTGACCTGCCCATTATAGTGTAGTATTTCCTTTGCTGCAGCTGTATTTATGTTTTTAATAGTTTTAAGTAAAGTGGGGGAATGGCTTTAGCAGTGTCCTCTGATTAGGAACTTTTCCTTTCCTTCTATTCAAGCAGAACAGAGTTAACACCCAGTTTTTCAGTCAGGGGGAAGTAGTTTAACCCGTTAATGCTGCTCTCAAACAATAGATCAAAATGATTCTCATGTTCAGTTAGATGTGTTGCTGATTGGAGTAATTTTCAGATGTTATGATAGGTCTTAATGTTTGTTTAACTAGAACTTTAGTAAGTGGACATGTTAAAATAATTGACCAATTTGTTAATCTAGAACTCAGGAATTATGAAGCAATTATATTGTCCACGACTACATGCCAGCTTTATTTTTAGGATCTTGATAACATACCAGTATGATGTCTGTTGCTAGAAAAACACTTGACGGACTTCAACAAAGACTTTTTAGGTATTAAGCATAAACTATGTGAAAGTACTGAAAGTCTGTTAATGACAATTTTTTTTTCTTGAAGCAGTGTCTTCAACCTCATTTTGGCACACAGGGCTTTCACTAAGCCTAACCGTTTTTACTTCTTTTTACCAGAGAGTGTTTTGACAGGACAAATCAACAGGGCCAGTCTGAAGTGTTATCGCTGGGCCTTCAACAACTGGGCTTTGACATTGTCTATTTTGGTGTCTGGCTTATAGAGAAAGGCTTTGGAGGGATATCTGAACAGTGAAAGTGGCTGTGTGCACCAATATTTAAAATAGTAATGAATTATACTGTGAGAGAACTACACCTTTTAAATTTACAGTTATTTATAGACTAAGCTTGTATTACTCAGTCATTAACCTTCAGCTATAAGTGACTCTTGTTAGCAGCTGACCTTGGTGGCTTTTTCATATCTCCTGGTTGACTTTGCCATAGTGGGGTACAGCTGCTCATGTTGCAGAAGACTATCTTAACCTCAACCTAAAGGAGTACTCAAGTGATTTAACACTGCACTTCCGCAAACTTGGGGGGCTCACAAGAAACAGATTTTAAAAATGCTCAAATTTAAGCAGATGCCGAGATATCCTCACTTTTAGTTTCGAGTTGGCCTTTTGTGGCCCTTGTCATGGAAAACGTGACTATGTGTAACAGTGTAACCACTGTGAGTCTGGTTTGGATGAAGAAATACATTTTAAAATACCATGGCCACTCTACCACTAAATCCTATGTTTCCTATAATGCTACCAATAAAATCTGTTAATAAGAAGCCTTCAGTTTAGTAGTGTACAAGCCCAAGCTCACGTCACATCATGGGGATGTCATCAGGGTAATTTTTCATCTCTTTGTGTGTAAAACCTGTGGATTGCCCCTTTAACAATTCATTTAACATTGTCATGAAACAATAAATACATGAACTATTGCCACAAACAAACATCTACAGACAGTGCAAGAATGCAGTGAGCTGTAATGAAGGTATATGATCGACTTTTCCATACCTGGTGCGTTGCAGAAGGCATCATCAGGATCCACCATGGCTACAAAGCCTGGGGGGGTTTCCACAACAACAGGCGGAGCCGCAGGAAGTGGCATCACAACAGGAGGAAGTGTATCAGTTGAGACTGCAGGAAGAGTGCCACCTAAAGCCCAACCAGAGGTAGACAGAAAAAAAGTGGAAGGGGCTTTTGGTTGTTGAGGTCTAACGTGAATCACTGCTTCCTTCTAAACACTGAGTGTGTACTACTCATCATGAGGCAGCTCAAGTCTCTTCTTCACTGACTTCATCTTGTTTTCATCTTGCAAAACCTCTCTTTATGCGTTGTCTCTCTGGCTCACCTATTCAAAGGTCATGACCTTTCACATGCATCAGAATCATCACAAGGAGCTCTCATGTCATCATGCTTGGGATGAATGCTCACCACAAGCTGTGGAGCTGACTTCATGAATAACCTTTTTCATGCTCCTTGATTTATAGACTAACACTACGCTGGCAGGTGCTACTGTTATTGACATGTCGTCTGCTGGGGGTACTGTTGTTGACATGACATCAGCTGGGTCGAGGGGTGGTCCTAAAGAGATGTCAAAGGTAATGGTGTCATCATGACGGAGGTTGTCGTTGATTCTTTATTCTTGTGTATTTTTACATTACTGTTGATCATTTTCCTGAAATTTTGATTGGTTTTCTACCAACTGGGCAGCATACAGGTACTTAAAAATGTCATCAACTTTATTTTTCATTGAGGTTGTTTTGCTGTCACATTGTAATGTCATGTGTACAGAGACTGATGTAAAAATGCTTCCTTGTTGGTTAAGCCATGTGCTTGTGGGAAACTCCAACATACATGTGTGTGTCAGCTGCTTAAGAACAGTTTGGTAATGAAACAACCAAATTCATGTGATTGAAATTCAACATGAACCCCTATGTTTGCTTGTTGTATTGTCTATTGTTAGAGTAACTTCATGGCCCTTGTAAAGCTGCCTGGGAGGCAGAAAATCAATTTGGAATGTTTAGAAAAAAGTCAGCAGTACTGTAAAGTATACAAAGCACTGCACCGGCATTTAACCAGACACAATGATCAATGGTCAGATTAGTCTCAGTAGACCAGAGTGCTTAATAACCCAGAACATTTTATTTTGCTTTGGATGGACTACAGTGGGAGATCTGACTAGAGATCATTGTACATTTTCTCCTCCACTATTTTCACTAACACTGTTAAAATATTCTCACATAATATTCACATCTCTTGTCGATATGTATACTTGCTTTAGAAGTGCTGAGTCTTTCATCCTTTGAGTAATCATTTGACTACATGTTTGTAGACTGCACCTGTCTCCCAAGTCAAAACCACGGCTACAGTTCCTCCTCCTGCTGCTGGAGCAGCTGCAGCCGCTGGCACAGCAGCAACCACTGCTGTGACCAAAGCCAAAGAGTCACCCAAAGATACAGTCAAGGTAGACTCGACTGCTACAGGCTTCTTAGACTCTTTACTGCCTCCATGACTACTTCGAGGTGTACTTTGCGAGGTTTGCTGCTGGTCGTGGCTTTATTACTTTCTTTCTTTTCTTTGTGTCATATGAGGTTGTGCTACTTTCTTTACCTGAGAACACTCCGATTCTTGCATTGAGCATTTCTCACTTTGGCAGTGTCTTGGTCTTGGAGGAGTACAAACTCCTCACTGCTTTTACCCTCTCTTTCTACTATGGAGATGACCAGTTGGGAAGTGTGAAGGGCTTTTGTTCTCTGCAGCCCTTTGCTCAGCATGCCTACGCTTATTATTGTATTTTCAAGCAGAGCACACCTGTTCACTTGCAACACCACTCATACGTCAGCAATCTGAGTCAGCCAGAGGAAAGAAATGGAGCAGAGAGACCTACAGTCTGTTGGTTTTGTCTTCTCGCGCTAATCATTGCACAACACCTGCTTGTAAACTCATGACTGTCATCAAGTTGGTGGAGCCTTTCTTCTGCTGGGTCACTCACTTTCCTGTGTTTTATTTGTTTATTTGGGCATATCACCGACTTTGTGCATGCACAACGGACCTGACGTGTACTTGGCCTATAATAGATTCAAATTCGTTGTATTTTAGAGTGCCATTCCCATCACTACACTCAAAGCTGATGTGCCTAAAGTTGATCCTGCTATAACATCAAAGCCAGCACCGGCTGGAAGTGTGTCTGTGCAGGGGAAGAAAGAAGCTAAACCGACACAAACGAAGGTAGACGATTCTGAAACCAACATGGGTGGAGGCTCCTGTGTATTTCCTGTCTATAAAATATTAATAGAAATGATATGTTGAATATTTTCTGGTGCTTTTTTAGTAGTGTCAATTTTGGGGAAATGTCTCTGGGTTTTAAGAGAATTATCAATCACACATCATGTAAAACCTACCACACTAACAATGTCTGTATTTTGTGTTTTATTTTATGTCGTGGAAGTCTGTGTACTGATTCTGGATCTGTGTTGCAGGTGCAGGTGGAGGTTCCTCCGACAGCAACTAAAGGAGTCAAAGAGGTAAAGACTTCCAGAAGCAGTATGAGTTTGCTTTGAAAGGCATGTTGCTTGCTCTAGTGTGCTGAGTTGTGTTGCATGTTCAGGCACCGGTGGTGGATCCATTTGATGCCCTGGCAAACATACTTCCAACCGCTGATCCTGTCGCACCCCCACAGCCTGTATACACCGGGCCAGAGGTCGTAGAGGTAAAGCATAGCCACAGTGTGTGTTTGTGTAGATAACTGAGCAGGTAAATGATTGCACTGAGCTGCAGCATGGATCTGCTGTGGGTAACCGTGTGTGTTGCATGTGTCACAGCATGTCGTCACCTCTGAGAGGGGTCAGAAGTGTGGAGAAAGAGACGACACGCTGCCTCCAGGCTACAGATTTAAAGATATGGTCAGTTCTCTCCGGTCTTCTCCTCTTCATCACTTCTTCTGATTCACTTATTTGCTTTGCCACTGTCAGCAGAGAGTGTGTTTCTTGTCTCATTGACAGACCTCACCATCAGCATGTTTTTATAGGGACTATTTCCTCAGTAGGAACTACTTCCTACGTAAAGTGTCCACACTCTTTTCACAGTCAGATCTGTGTTATCTAGAGTAATGATAAAGTTTCAAAAAGCCATTTTCAATGCAGAGAAAAACTCCATTCACCTCCATTGTATTTGGGCAGAGATGAATGAGACTTCATATGTTTTTGGTACTAATCAAAATTTGTCTTTGAGTCAAAAGACTGTCAAGTACCTTAGAGTTTTAATTATTATTTGATTGGATCATTATAATTTTATCAATTTTTAGTCAAAGTTGTTCACATTGACACAACATTTAAAATGATACTTAACCCTAGAGAGACATACCTCAAACTCTGGACACATAAAACCAAAACTACCTGCGTGGGAAAATTAGACAATATGTCAGGGATTCTTTTTGTAATTTGAGTGAACTGAGCCTTTAGAATGATTTCAGCTTTTAGCTTGTTTTCATCCAGACTAAAATAATCTGTTTTTTCTAGGGACCAGTTCCTGCAGATGTTAAACCCAAGGATGTCCCTGTAAGTGTTCACATTTAGTGGAGTCACAACCTCCTGCAGTCTGCTAATTCTGAAACTCTCTCTTTAAACTCACTAAACTTTTTCCAGCATGTGTAAACAAATAAGCACATTACACGCACATCCAGGAAGCAGTGTTTCCACTGTATGATCTCCTGGTTCCTCTAGAGTGGGGAATGTTGCATTGCACTTGTGGGTGTTGTCTCAGCAAACAGCACGGAACCCACCTTCTCTGCCCGAGCTCGTTGGGTCTTGTCCGACCTAACCCAAACCTTCATGTAAATATACGTGTACGACCACATAGAGACACACACACACACTGATACATCTGCTACACACTTTGATATCCACCCATATGTAGAGTACTATTTACTCACCGTCAGCACACCCACATTTGCATCATAGCCTACTCCCACTTTGTCATCTTGTCTCACAAGAGTCTTCTTTGGTTCTGTGTCTCTTGATCTGTTTCCACCCTGATACTTTCCTCTAGTGTGAGTTTTGTGTTTTTAGTTTTGATGTTTATCATATTTTGCTAAATCAAAGTGTTTTTATGTGTGAAATGTGTCTTTTAAGAAAGTTTATTTGTGATTTATTTTGTCCGTGGAATGTGAAGGGTGTGTCTGTACTTTTCCTTCACTGTTGTTACATGCAGTCTGGTTTACATTATTTTACCCTTTTGTTTTCGCCTTTTACTTGGTCAGACATGCCATCTAGTGGAGGATTATGGGTAATTCTAGTAATAGTAATTCTTAATCAGATTATTATCTTAAAAAAATGTTTTTTATCTGGTGGTGATGCTTGCTCTGTGTTTCATCTCAGAAACCACTGAGCACGGACGAGGCCCTGGATTCTCTCACCGCAGGTTTCATGTCGTCTGCTCCGGCTGCACCCAACAAGCAAGAGGTCAGACAGTCTTCGAGCATGTAGCACTCAGCTGCTAGTCCCGTCTTCACCTTCACATCTCACATACCATATCTAAAGTGATCCACACTTAAAATTCTCAGTTTGGCATGTCTGTTGTAGACTGTATCAGCCCTGAATGTATACTTAAATGCCTGCATGAAAGTGAAGGCATAGCTTTGTGCTTTTTTAGTAGTCTGAGAAATTCCAATCTTGTTTTTTTTTCTACATTAAATATGTAGAAAAAGGACCATGTTGGCAGCATCAGTGCCTCATCTGCTGGCCCTTCTAACTTTGCACCACCTCCTGTAAAGGTAAAGTAAAACTTTCAAGTATCTGCAGTGTCATTATAGTGGCATCTAACTGAATTTAATTGTCAAAATGTGTGTCTCTGTAGCAGAAAACTGTGTGTCCTGCTCCTCCTGCTGATAAAAAAGCTAAGATGGAGAAAGTTTCTGATGATTTCTCTCTGGACGCTGGACTTCCCTCTGCTTCCACCAAGGTACAGCAAGCTTACACCTCCCTTTCTCACCTCTTGGCTGCTCAGATCTCTGTCTTTATAATTTATAGAAACACTTTGTTTCAGCAAAGGTGCTCAGATATGTTGTTTTTTAGATGACTTTTGGTTTCTATTTGTTAAAAAATAGTAATTCCAAGTTGAATGTTGTGTCTGTTTGCTGTTGTAGAAAGGAGCCCCCCCTGTGGCCGTGTGTCCTCCTGCTGATAAAAAAGCCAAGATGGAGAAGGTCTCAGACAGTTTCTCTCTGACGGCTGGACTGGATAGCAAAGTGGAGACCAAGCCCAAGACTGATGGCGTGAGTTTAACAGGAGCGGACAAAATACTTTGTGCCCGTCCTAACTTCTCTTCTCCTTATTTCTGCAGTGGAACAGTATGTGACACATTGGTAAATTATTAACTTCTGCACACATTCTCCTGTCCTCTCCTCAGGGCGACATGTCTCTGGACGCTCTCAGTGCTCTTGGTGACACATTGGCAGCAGACAAACCAAAGCCTGAACTCCCCAAACTCAGACCTGAGGACATCGTCTCGGTAGGAGCTCACACATTTACTTGGGGAAAGTTCAGTGTTAGACTGCAGAAATGTATGTTTCAGCTTTTACAGAAACACTCACCAGTCATCATTATGTCCACCTACCGTTCTTTTTATAGGAGGACAAACTCAATAAGCAGAAGGGTGTGCTTGTAGGAGAAAGGGAGGACACCCTTCCTCCAGAATACAGGTTCAAAGAGGACAAACTCAAAAAACTGCCCCCTCCTAAACCTGAGGTGAGACTGGGACAAATTTAAGGCTCTAAAGGTATTAATTTAATATAAACACAATAACAACCGCAGAATATTGATATACAAAAGATTTCTCTCTCTTTCCTCCATGTCCCTCCTCCCCTCCTCCTGCAGCCCACTATGGGCACTGGCGAGGCTCTGGACATTTTGACTGGGGACTTGATGACCTCCTCAGCAGCTCCTGCTGTCCAGGCTCCCCCTGCACAGGTACAATATGGATCTATCACTGGTAGCAGCAGACAAACTAATACAAGCAGAGACACAGTATCCATTATCTCCTCAAACGCTGTCTCTGTCGGTTGTTGTAGAAAGCCCCTGTGGTTCCTACCACTGATAAAAAAGCCAAGATGGGGAAAGTCCCTGATGATTTCTCTCTGGAGGCTGGACTTTCTGCTACTACTGCCAAGGTACAGCAAGCCAAACCTTCCCAGCAAGCAGCTCTTTGCTGGTTGAATCTCTGCTAATGTTGATACATGGTGTCCTACATTAAGTGCACACATCTGTAACTGAATAAATACCCTTTTATAGTGATGTAAACAAATATGAACGTATTATTCGGATATAAACAGATAATGCGCTCTTAAGATACAAACTGCATCTGATTATCACATTGAAACACATATATGTCATACACAAACTTTTTTATGTAATTTATTTAAACATTGTTGAAAAATGTGCTTCTTGTGACTTCAGATCTTGACTCGTAATCATCAGATTCAGACTTTTTCTGACTTATCAATGTAATCCAGATGTGAACAGGAACTGCTAGCAACCAAAACAGCATGCAGACTTGCCAAAAACAAATAGGCTATAAGAGTCACAGCCATGCCAGCAGCTCTGGGACGCTGTACTTTGACACATGGGGTCTTGGGGCTAAATGCTAACATTAGCATGCTAACATGCTCACAATAATAATGCTAACATGCTGATGTTTAGCAAGTATAATGCTTACCAGCCATATTCGCAACCCTATACTAAAGTATTGGATAAACTGAAAATGTTGACCTGATGATGGCATAAGAGGAAGTCAGGGGATCACCAAGTTATCATCCAGAGGAGGACATGAATGTCTTCACCATATTTCATGGCACTATATCCAATAGTTGTTGAAACATTTCACTCAAAACAGCAACCACATGGTGGTGCTAGAGGAAAAGTTAAGAGATTGCCAAAGTCATAAAGATACTTCATCTGGCAACCATGAATGTTGTGCCGAACTATCAAGTAGGTGTTGAGACACTTGGGGGTCCACTTTGGGTTCCATCCTTGTATATTCAGTTTTCAGAGCTATTAATTGATTGCATGAAGTAACCCCTCTAAAAAAATATTGATATTGTAAGCTATTTTAAAGAAGCTTTTTGGTTACACTAAAAAGAGCATAGGAACCTTTATTTGATAAGAATTTCTTTTATTGTTTTGTGATCATCCAGAGTGCAAACCTTCATTCAGTCAGTCCATTAATATAAAGTTTATTGTCATCTCTGTTGTCTGGTGTAGAAAGTTGAATCCTCTGCAGCCCCCCCTGTGGCTATGTCTCCTGCTCTTCCTGCTGATAAAAAAGCTACCGGAAAGGGTGCCACTAATGGCAAGCCCAAGGCTGATCTGGTGAGACAAAAGAAAATTACAGATTTTTTCCCCCCAGCTTTTCATTCCCTTTCTTGTGTTTCTTCTCAATCCTGTCACCCCAGGTCACCCTGTTTCTCTCTTTCATGTGGGAGAGACATTTTATTTCAATGGTTAAACTATGAATGTATGACAATGATAAGTAAGAGTACATTCTCCTGTCCTCTCCTCAGGGCGACATGTCTCTGGATGCTCTCAGTGCTCTTGGTGACACATTGGCAGCAGACAAACCAAAGCCTGAACTCCCCAAACTCAGACCGGAGGACATCGTCTCGGTAGGAGCACACACACTCAGAATTAGACTGCAGAAAGTCTCCTTCTGTTTGCATTTGTGTTCCAGCTCCTCACAGGAACATCTATTGTTCTTTTTATAGGAGGACAAACTGAATAAGAAGAAGGGTGTGCTTGTAGGAGAGAGGGAGGACACACTTCCTCCAGAATACAGGTTCAAAGAGGACAAACTCAAAAAACTGCCCCCTCCTAAACCTGAGGTGAGAAAAAAACACTACGGCTTATTATCATACTGTTATACGGTTTTTAGCTCTTACAAATAGCATACAAATGTAAAAAACTAAGTACTTGATATTGTTTAATCTATATCTCTCTCCGTTCCTCTTCCTGCAGCCCACCATGGGCACCGGTGAAGCTCTGGACATTTTGACTGGAGACTTGATGACCTCCTCCGCAGCTCCTGCTGTCCAGACTCCTGTTGTCACCCCCTCAGCTCCTCCTGCACAGGTACACTGTGGATCTTTAACTGGTACCTGTAACCAAAATCTGCAGGGGTGAGGAACAGATGAAGCGATCCAGCAGCTGAAAGATGTATACAGAAGCAGTGGGGGCATTTATAATGTGTCCAATGTCATTGTCCATCTAAAAAAAATAAAAAATAAAAAAATAAATATATATTTAACATATATTAAGAATATAGGGAGATATGCGTAAGTGTATTTACCAAAATGTTGTACTATTCTTTTAAGACTTTGTTTAAATCAAGATGTTCTGATTTTAAAAAATATCATTATGACAGTTTAAACACTTTATCGCTGAATGCTGTTGTCTCTCTTTTCCAGTCTAAAGTAGAGGATTTGTCAGCTCTGGATTTACTTGCTGGAGATTTTGTGGCCCCAGCTAAAGCTTCTGGAGTTCATGCACCTGCCCCTCCTTCTACCAAGAAGACACCACAGGTAAATGAATGTGTGTGTGTGTGTGTGTGTGTGTTTATCCTGGAAATAGTTTTTTATTTGTAGCTGTGTGTGCCTGCCCTTGCGTTCTCTACCGTCCCTCGACTTCTTTCAGTCTACATGTCCGACTATATGTCCCTGTGCTCTGCAGAAAATGGTTTGTCCCCTGGAGCAACCAAGCTCAGTTGATGTCCTTCCTGCACTGCCACGACAAGCAAAACCCAAGACTGTGAGGATACAAAACTGCATTTTACTACATATTATAGTGTTGTTTAAAATTTCTAGCTAAAAACCTCTTGCCTTGTGTCTTTCAACATATTTCCCTTATATTTTAAAGACCAGCCTAAGTATCCTAATAAAACTCTCACAGCTCAATTATATACCTCCTCTCCTGTTTTCTCCTCAGGATGACTCTATGTCTCTGGATGCTCTCAGTGCTCTTGGCGACACGTTGGCTGTAGATGAACCAAAACCTGAACTACCCAAACTCAGACCTGAGGACATCGTCTCGGTATGGGACACACAGACACACACACTAAACACACCTTGCTGTTTGTTTCATCTACATTTTTGTTGCCTTATCATGCAGTATGAAATCAATATTACATATATATGGAACATATATATGGAGCCTATGGATCAAATTATTGTAAAGAACCAGGCAGCCACAATGCTCTTATTTTCTTTATTTCCATGTGTGTATCTAAGTTCATGTGTTTTTGTGTGTTTAGGAGTGCAAACAGAATAAAAGCTGTGTGCACTTATGTTCCCATCAGGTCTTTTTCATGTTTCCTTTCCTTTTCGTAGGAGAACAAATTGAAGAAGGAGAAGGGTGTGCTTGTGGGAGAGAGGGAGGACAGTCTTCCTCCAGAATACAGGTTCAAAGAGGATGAACTCAAAAAACTGCCCCCTCCTAAACCTGAGGTGAGCCTGGGACTAGATTCAGACGCCATGTATTATATGTATGTATTGCATGTGCTGTTATTTGCATTGATGAGGCAAAGATCTCACCTATATTTCACCTTAATTGGTGTCCCTTGAATATATTTGAATCAGCTCCTCATAATTTCCCTCCTCTCCTCTTCCTGCAGCCCACCATGGGAACCGGTGAAGCTCTGGACATTTTGACTGGAGACTTAATGACCTCCTCTGCAGCTCCTTCTGTCCAGGCTCCTGTTGTCACCCCGACAGCTCCTCCTGCACAGGTATACTGTAGTTCTAGCACTGTTTACTGCAGCATCTAAATAGTACAGTGTTATGCCTCTTTGCAATGGAAAAGTCCTACAGAAGTATTAGTAATGTAATAATTTGATTGATTTATTGTGTCATTCCCTCAGTCCTCGGCAGACTTCGCTCTGGATGCCTTGGCGGGGGACTTTGTTGCCTCCACAGCTGCTCCGGCAGTGAAGTCTGCTTGTGTTCCCACAGAAACTGCCCCGCAGGTAAATGCACAGGTACAACTCAAGCCTTTTTGGACCAGTTAGACTCTATAAAATCCTGTAGTTCCATCAGAATCCCTTTTGTGTATTTGTGCTCTCAGCTGTCAGTGGGAGCAGACAATGCCCTGGACGCTCTGTCAGACACCTTAATGGATATCACACCCGCCCCTCAGCCCACCCCAGTTCCTACCAAAGACATCGTCAAGGTAGTCAGCGCAGTTCAAGAGCATAGCCCGCATGAGAATATTTTCAGTTTTAGAGTGCTTAAACAAAAAGTCCAGTGGCTTCAGCTGTCCTGATTTGTCTGGTCGTTGCAGGAGAATGCGGCCGTTGAAAAGAAGCTGATAAAGATGGGAGAGAGAGACGACACACTGCCACCAGAGTATCGACCCACTGAGAAAGATCTTATGGTAAACTGACACTATGGGCTTTATTATTGAAATGTGACCGATGATTAATGAACCTGTATGTTTTTTTTATTTTTCGTTTCATTTCTGGTTAATGACTAAATGCATTTTATTTGTTAATGTCCATTCAAATAACAGTAACTTTATCAGTCCTGCTGGAGTGTTATTTGTTGGAAGCATTTACAACCATGCTGCATGACTCCGGAAGCAGCTGTTGTGAGCTTGATTCACAGTGTTGGCGCAAGTTTTGTGGGAAACTATAAGAAAATATTCAGAAACAACAGTGAAACCTTTTTAACTAATGAAATGGACACACAAAAACACATGAAAATGAGAAAATTGTTCTACTGTACATGTGAATGAGGCTTTGATGGGTAACTGACTTAAACTCTGAGCCCTGGGTATTTCCTGGGATATGGTTCTTTACAGTATACAGGAGTAGTAGTAATTTTACTCTGTCTAATGTTTATCACTTTCATTTTAAAGAAAATGGCAGAAGCAAAGGGGAAAGAAACTGCAGCACCCAAGGAGGTACCAATGCACACACACTCTCAGTATATGACAGTAGAGGGGCACAGTGAAACAAAATATGCTCTCAATGTATACAACATGCACATAGTTTGATTTCCTGTGTTTCTGTAGAAGACTATGGATGATAAAACAGCGTTAGACCTGCTGTCTGGGGACTTTGCTGCTCCTAAGCCCGCTGCACCCGTCACATCATCTGCAGCCGCAACAAAGCTGGAACCTCCTGTGCTGGACTCAGACCCCCTGAAGGTAACGCAGAAAATGAACATAAACATAAACCTCATCCTTTTAGTTCCACCGTTGCTGTTCCTGCTATGATAAGAAAAGTAAAAAACTCTGCTGTGAATATAGTGTTGCTATGTGGTGCCCATGGTTTGATAAGTTTATTACTTATTCTTATTTTTTTTTTTTATTCTTCCTCAGCCAATGGCCGGTCCTGTCCTAGACTCCCTGGCAGGCACCCTGCTCCCAGACACCTTTGAGTTAAAATCGAAGACAGACAAACCAAAGGTAAAAAGAGGATCTGTGTGAGATCAGGATTAGGCATTATTGAACAAGTAAATGTTAAAGAGTAACTGGTCTAAAGAGCAAAGACCTTTGCCAGAAGTGAAGAATAAGACCAATTTATCAAGTGACTTACTCCTATTCTGAATTATACAACATGTAATGTTTCAGCTAACATTATTATTATTCATAAAGTGTGTACAGTCACTACAAAACATGTCTCAGAAGGTGGCGATTCACCTCTGTGTCTGTGCTGCAGTCATCTAGAATGCAGTAATCTAGAAATACCTTTGGATGTCTGCTAAATTTAACATTTTAACTCAAAAGTAATTTGATCATTTGTTTTGTTCAGTTTGTGAGAAGGACTGTTTGATCTTTCCCTTATGTCTAACATTTTACTTTTAGCAGTTTTAAAAAATACAATCCAAGATCTGAATCTTTGTAAAGCCTGACATGTGATTGGGATTGACTAATGGCATATAGTGTGAACAGTATGGTTGCTGATGTTTTTATTGTTACATGGCGCCCTCTATAGGTTGTGTATTAGCATTTACTGTTATCAGTGGCCACTGCCTCGTTGGGCAATGTGGTTGAGCCTAACCAAGGTTCCAACTTTGTTACAGGGCAAGAGCAAGTCAAAGTCAAGGTCTAAAGTAAGCACACTGCCTGCTGCATGAAGACCTAAATTCAGTTGTTAATGCACTATTATGGACTATAAATCAATCTGTGCGCTTTCAATGGAAGCTCAATAAAAAAACAAATCTCTCTATCGGTGGAGCCTGCACATAGCCGCATGTGACGCACTCTCATGTCTCTGCTTCGTGATTTTCTCCAAATAAGTACATTCAATCTGTATAATTATTGCATGCGAAGGCTCTGCTTCTTTCTCTTCCTCTTTATATTTTTGAAACTTTAACCTCGTATTTCAGAAACACCACGCAGAGGAGCCATCTGCCACTGACGAGCTATCAGCTCAGCTAAGCTCAGATGTTGTGCCAACATCTACAAAGAAGGGAGGCAAGAGCTAGACCCCTTGGTAAGGTTTGTTCTCATCTTTTGAACAATTTTACTTGATAAAAGGTGTAACAAGAACAACATGAGGAGGATAAACGTCCACATCTTTGCACTGACTGGCTGAATGTGTCCTGTGTTGCAGGTTGTTGGTGCAGTTTATCCTCCCGGCCACAGGGACACATCACTGAGGGAGCTGCTCTCTGGATAATGATTATATTTTTCTAAATCGTCAAGAATGTATACTGGATGAAAGACGAAACTAGACATACCCATAACACTTGCTCAACACACACACACACACACAGCTCTGCGTGCATCCCCTTTCTTGCTCGGTTTTCATGTATATTTCAGGAAGAGAAGCTTTTGGTTTCTGTGTTTGGAGAAAATGAAAAGAAGACTTTTTAACACAAGATTGAGAATGAAAGAATGAGTGATGAACAGACAACGAAAGCAGGGAAACTGGGGGGGGGGGGTAAACAAGAGAAAATGGTTTGTTTTGTTGGTTGCTGGTGTTGAGCGTGCCGAGGGAAGGAAGGCGTTGCTCGTCAGAGTCCTGTATGTACATCTCGGCTGACAGTCTCTGTTCCTCCAATGGCACTAATGTTACAACATTGGTCAAGCTTAGTGGTGTTGTGACGTTGGTCAGAGCAATGGTGGCTGTCAGCTTACAGGAGCAGTATTGAGTGGGTGTATAGTATCGGGATGTTTGTGCAATCTTGATGTACACAGAAAAGCCAAGTTTTCTATTATGATGTGGTCAGATGCCATTAAGACACTAGTGTACAGCTTAGTTTGCTTTTATTTTGGACAAGACATAGTTTACATGATATGTGGAGGATTTCCAGGAGGTGTTCAGCTTAATTCTGTATTCGAGAGCTTCGTGCAAATGCCTTTTACTTTCTGTAGAGAAATATCTGAGAAGGGTCTGTATGTGTTTGGCCGTGTAGAAAAACAATTTGCTGGTGTCCAGAAGTGCACTTAGTGAACAGAGGTGGTTACAAGCTTTGTAAACTCCCCTTGTTTGTACTGTAAAAAAAAATGTTTTGCTCAATATAAGACAACACTGTATCATTTAGAAAGGGCTATCAACTGTAAAGTCAAAAATCAATATACTTTCCCCAAATTATTTTTTCCATGTCAAAGGTTTTGTGTGGGTGTGAGTTATATGAGAGATATTTTAAATGTGGGAATACAAATTAAATAAAATACAAGTTGAATAAAAAATTTAAAAATAAGATCAGTGTAGTTTCTATATGTAACATCTGATCTTTACAATCGGTGCCTAAAATGAGACGCAAAAACCAAACCAACATAGACTGCCTTCAAATGTGCCGGAAATCAATAAACTTTCGTGAAGGTGCAAGTGAAATGTGTTGGTATTAAACTAAACGTGAACAGAATCTCCTCTGAAATGTTTTTTCTCTTCTCTTAACTTTGTGGTTTTGAATTTTGCATACAGTTGTAGCAGCCCACTTCCTTTTTGTACAGGGGGGGCTTACAACAAAACAACTTTGCTCCAATTTGACGTCAAACTGTTTTTCTGTGTCGAGACCCTGAATGACTGATGGAGATGCAAGTGAGTGGGTTTGACGTGTGAAGAAAAATAAAATGCAATAAGAAATACATAAGTAAAGACGAGTACATTAATTGCAGTTGATAAAGAATGAGTGGTATTATATTTTATTTATTTGTATAAATTCAGATAATATATTGTACAATATTGTACATCCAATTTTAAAAAATAAAAAAAATAAAAAAATTACATTTGCTACTCTGGAGAAATAAAAAAAACTAATCAAAATCTTACATAAAAAAATAAAATTAAAGAATGTTAAACATTTGAAGTTATCCTCCCGCTGCATTTTTTTTTCAAACTAACAGCAAGTTAAGTACAGTAAGTAGGTAAAAATCAATGTACGGGCACAATGCTGAAAAAAGTAAATGCTTTAAAAATGCTCTGTCAAAAGAACAGGTTGTAAATGAAGATGAAATCTATACAAAAGCAAAATTAAATACATTTTTTGCACACAAATAAATCTGACTTCTAATATTCTCAGGATGTCAGTGGTTTCTATTATTAACATTCACGGGGACTAGATGAATAGAGCTTTCATACCACATTATTTCATTAAAAGAGTTCAGTCTGAATGTTATGGCGCACCCATCAAACCACAATGCAGCTAAAACTGGATGTTGACAATGAGACAAAGAGCTTTGAAAATATTTTATGCGTTGAATTCTTAATCCCCTTTAAACGCTTTATTCTCTATCACAAACAATTAAAACAGTTTAAGTTGGCAGTAAAATATTTACCGTGAATGTCAAACTATAAACGAGATGAAAAGACATCACTGTAAAATAATTGCAGTTTCAAGAAGCGTGTCTGTTGGTCATCATTTGTTTTCCAGGAGCCATTGTCTGCGGCCTATATGAGATAAACAAGGTATTTAAAAATAATAATGAACTGCTGCAACCTGGGAGGAATTATATTCTGCAGTTAAAAACAAATATGTGTTCTAAATATACATATATACTGTAGTCTATATATCTATATATATTCTTAACACGCTAATTTCAGTCTTCAGTGTAGAATAAATATGTTTAAATTTGACAACTCTGAAAAGACTGCTTTTTATAAATTAAAAATTCTGTATTTCTCCACCAGTACTGTAAAATAAAACTAACTGAAAAGAACCATGTCAGGTAGCTAAAATACAGCTAAAAACAAGGTGCTGAACCAAGATGAGTAAAAAATAAACAGCATTATTATGTACATACAAAATAGATGCATGTATATAGAAAAACAACATACACAACACAACATATGAGTTTGAGAGTTGTCTATTTAATTAAAACTTGAAGAAAATATCAGTGAACAGCTAACTCACTCATAATTAATAATTATAATAATTAAATAAATAACTACATTTACAGACACTTTGGTGTTGGTGTCTGGGATGGGTGGACAGGAAAATTCTGGCTACGGGCCTAAATCTAAAGATAATTTTAGATTAAAATAAAATAAATGACTTACTTTCTTTTGTAATGATGTGGGCATCTCCGTGTTCTTATTTCTACAGTAAATCAAAAAAATGTTAAAAACTGTCACACACAGCTAAATGTTCTATGTTTAAATCAATAAAAGCAGCTAAAACAGTACCGTAAAAACAGACAGGAAGTTTCTGAGGAAAATCTTAAGAATTTAAAAGTACAAATTTCAGCTTTCCAATATGTAGCAGATGGACTTACTATTGCAGTACAGGGTGGTAATGATGAGGAGTAGAAGAAGAAGGCCGCAGCCGCCAGCCAGTGGGCCCAGTATGATTAGAGGGCAGTACATGTCAGGATTGGTTTTCTCTGCAAAGCATGTGTTCATTTACCACCTGTTTCTCCTCACAGCATCATACATATGAAGACGATAAGGACTCACGACACACACATGTGATTGGGAACACTTACCTTCCTTCTTCTTGTTACACACACATGGCGGGATAGCTGCAGTTGTGCATAGAGTTGGTTTGCTGGTGGGCACTAGTGCTCCCTGTGGTGCTTTTTCTTAAGAGAGAGACATGGAAAGTGTGAGTAAAAAACATCCATCATATCATCATTCGACCAAATTGATGAAACAAAACTCACCTCCGAACAGTCGAGTTACTTTGCCGAAACTTAACTCGTTGCCTTTGTAAAGAGACGCACAGCTGTAAATGCCGCTGTCACGGCTTTTGTTGAATGACTGCAGTATCAGGATCTTCTGAATAATCTTTGAGAAACTGAAGATGGGAGATAATGGGGATGACTTTACAATGCCAGTGTTGCTGAAAGACCCAATGAATTCCATGCCAGTTTTGTCCAACACTCGAAACCAGACGATCATGCTGCCTGTCGTCTTAGGCTGACAATGGATTTCAACCAGCTGCCCCTCCGGTGTGGCTTTGTCCTCACCGGCTCCTGAAGTAATCTCTAAAAGATGTCATAAAATGTGAGCAGTAATATCATTCACCACCCAAACATTAAGATTAAGAAACAGACCAGAGAACGCTCTAAGACTGCCACACAGTAGTGAAGATCTGTCAAATTTAGGTTAAACTTACTTAGACAAAACACCAGAATCGCCAGAATATGAATCCACTTTTGGTCCATTTTAATCTTGCAGATGACAATAGCTCCTAAGCCAGTCTTTGTGATGTTTGCTGAAGCCTGCTAGGAGATAATTGAGTGAGATATCAAACCACGCCCCACCTGTAACCTTCTTCTCTGCTGTATCAAATGGGATCATTGCAGAGCAGTGTTGCAGAGACCTCCTGCAGCACGGTCGTGGTGTGCAAGATGTTTGAAGTGGAGCCCACCGATCTGCACTTCATACCTCTGCCTCTGGTGTGAAGAATCGAACAACCCGACTGCATCTACAAGATACCGACATTATGTTGGGTGGCAATGAGTAGGAAGTGTAAAAACTACGCACAAAGCACCTTATTAAGTCTGCATAGCAGCCCACTTTACACAGACACAACTCTACCACTCTTTTCTCTACTTCTTTTCTTTTAGACATAGAGGTCCTTACTATTATTCTATTCTATTCTATGAGCTGTGAAACTGTGAATAAGGATTTGGATTATATTGGATCGTTTTCAAATCCTGTTTCTGTTTCATAAAGTGGCTGCTGTGATGGAACTGTAACTGATAATTAAGGGGGGCACACTGGAGCTGAGCACACCTTGTGATTACAAGATGACAAATGTGTTTGGATAGCATAGGGGGGAAGTTCATCTTTGGCCATTACAAATACATAATTAATTTAGAAGATGTAAGTGAAACCCTGCACCCTGTGAACTCTGACAAAATGATGTAAACACCTCATGGAGAAGGACTTACTTAACAAGCAGTGGTGGAAGAACAACACAGCTATCTGATATAAGTAGCGGATACTATTTCACAACACCCGTTTCTAGAAGGGCTTTTATGAAAATAAAGAGCAGTTACATCCCACCATTGGTTAAGAGTTTAGTTATACTCATTATATCAATCCGATAGGCATCATTGAAATACACTTGTCAACTTTTAGCATTGCTTTAAACAATTTAAAGCACAACAATGGCATGCTAAATAAAAAAAAATAAAAAAATCATCTGTGTTCCACTGCTAACCACATCCAACACATAATGTATCACTGTTAGTGTTACATCACTGCAGCAAGGTGAACATTTAAACAGCTAGATGGCAGCAAAAGCAGGATTTAGAGCTGCAAACTAATTAAATGTCCCATTTTTTTTTATGATTTTCAATTCAGTGAGAGAAGTCGCAGTGTAAAATGGGCCTCAAACTGATTTCATTTCAAACAACTCTGATGGTGTTTTTAGCAGAAAGACTGTGTTATAAGTTTATAAGTTGTGAGCTCATGTAAAGCTGTATTGAACTGCTAAACAGTGGGGGAACTACTTTTACTTAAGTGCTGCACTTAAGTAAAAGTAGATAGAGACAGCTGATGAGTGAGAGGAAAGGGGGGAGAGAGAGAGGGATGACCTGCAGCAAAGGGTCACAGGTCGGAGTCAAACCCATAGCCGCCGAGCAAGGACCCAGCCTTTGACCATGGGGAGCCAGAGCAGCTTTATTTTTATATTTCAGAACATCTGAGAGGGGAATATATACTTTTTACTCTGCTACATTAACCTGACAGCTGCAGTGAATAGTACTTTACAGATTACCCTCCAATCCTATCCAAATGTGTTGCATTTGCATGTATGTTATTATTATTATGTGTTTTCCTTGAGAAAATTATTTTATTTCTAAGCTAAATAAACAATTTAAAACTGGATTAGCTTGAAAAAGCATTGTCACAAAGCTGAAAACAGGGCTGCTGACTTTTTAGAGACGTGTGGTTCTCACAGGACAGCGACACTACAAACATAAGATGATCTTATACAATATGATATATTGCTGTAAAAATTTGCACAGCTTGGGGCTCCAAAATGGCTCACCTCGTGGAGCTGGCGCCCTAATGTGCCGGGGCTGGGTCTTTGCTGCAGCGGCCATAGTTTTGAGCCCGACCTGTGGCCCATCTCCCTTTCCCCCTTTCCTGTCTATATTGAGCTGAAAAAGATTAGCTCAATTAATACACATAACCGCAGCAGTAATTTTAATCCTAAAACATTATATCTAATAGTAAAACACTGACAGAAATATTTTTGCATAATGAATACTATAACTTAGGTACATTTTACATTTTTATAATACTTCAGTACTTTTGAATAAACTAAGGTTCTGAAGGCAAGATTTTTTACTTGGAGTGGAGTAATTTCAGTGTGATATAAAAAATCTGAATACTTCTTCCTCCACTGCTGCTGAGTAAAATGTTAGTACATCAGGAATAGGGAGGATGACCAACAATGAAAATGACACAGGTTGTATAAACAGTATTTTCCATTTTTCCATTAACAACAAAGGAATTAGCTTCTTCCCCATAAGTTAAACATCATGTCACTTCTTCGAAAACTTGTCTTGAAGGAAAGTGAAACTTTCTTCAGATCAACTGAGAGAGCTACACCGGCTATGGCGTAACCCAGGGCCCGTCCTATTTCCTGTTCAGTGATGGAAAGTAAATGCACCAATTTAGGTAATGGGCAACAAGTGCTGACATTTTGCTCTTTGGTGGGCGATTTATTTGTTCCATGGGTGGGAGGAGAGAGAAAGAGAGAAACAAAGATAGAGGGGAAATTAAATACAATAGCATGTCTCATTTGCATGTGCTGTAGAGCATTTTCTTTACCCTGTCATGCTATTTCCTCAAAATGCAGATGCTTATTATTAACATTATTATTAAATATTATAAATTTGTTTATCATAAATTAACTTGACATGTATTTCAAATGAAACCACGATGGAAACCAGGTTCAGGTTTTCAGTCAGCAGGGGATTCTGTTGATGCTTTGAATTAGAGGGAAGACCCAGTCAAAACGCTCAGTTAGCCCACCTCACCTTTCCATAGCTCTCTTTCAGGGTTGAGTCACTCACAACACACCTGCATGGGCTTCCCTATCTTAGTCACACAGGGGGTCTCCAACCTGAAACTTACAGCTATGTGTGTGTGTGAGTGTGTGTGTGTGTATGTAGTGGGTGACCAGGGGAAGCCAACGAGAAAGAGAGTACCCTGAACAGTAGCATCACATAGCTTGACATTCAAATGCAATCTGAAGAGACGTCCTTATCAAAAAAAAGCAGCACCATCAATACCAGTAAAACAGCATCAATAACAGTTGCGTGTTCATCAGTTCTTCATCACTTTGGCTCACCTGTCTCTGCACTGTACTGGCAGTTCCAGGCATTATGGGATATGGAGTTATGAAACGGAAACCAAGAAGAACAAGAGGAGTAAGTAGCAATAGAGAGCTCGGAAATGGAGACACTGAACATGTGCAGATGTCTGTACATCAATATGAGTTTGCTCATATTTTCTTATCTTACTGCAACTTCCTGTCAGATTTGTATATGTGAGTTTTGGAAAATGATTTCCATATTTAATGTACCCTTTTAACTTTTGCTTATAGAGCTGAGTTTAACAAATATGTCTGCTTGGATTTTTTATTCTTAATGTACAAAATGTAACATGGAACAGGAGACTAAGGTGAATTCATTGAAAATATTGGCTCACTGTTCCATCGTATGTGAATATACTGTGTACAGGGTAGTCATCCAGTGGCTATGATTGTTAAATAGATTATGTGTGACAAATTTGACCTTTAAAAATAGATATCTCTATATATATATATATATCTCTGATATCTCTGTGTACTTACTTACTAGCTTAAGGCAGTTGATCCTAGCACGAGCTGACATATCACACAATATGCTGTCTGCAGGATTTCACCACTAATAGCCTCACGTCATAGTATTTGTATGATTCAATACTGTTGCTTTACATTTACGTATTTGAAATCAGAAATGTTTACCATACATGTCTGACTGATATGCTGGTATGAATTCTTGTAGCATTATTTAAGTGTAATAGATTTAAATGTAAAATTGCTGCATTTTACAGAACTGATAACAGACACACAGCATGCTGTGAATTGCTTTTAATATGCATTTTTTAAATAAATATGAATTGTAAACTATTTATTGCTGAAAAAAGCTGAGGAGAAACAAGCATTTCTTAATGTAAGTCCCATATTTCACATGTAAACTGTCTATTATCACATAAGCCTATATGTGAATGTATCATGTGAAATGGTGTTTCATGTAATGAATGTGTTTTTTGACATATATAACAGATCTTTTAAAGTAAAAGCTTACAGTAAAATGCAGGCATTGTGCTTTGGTTCAACATCTGGCACATATTGTGCTCCTCTGTCTTTAATGTTTGTTTCTCTGAGATTAGCAGAATGTATTCTGTCGATCTGGTAACAGAAGTTAAAGTTACAAGATACCTTTAGAGAAATCATTATGCCTTAATGTATAACTTAGCTAACTTTAACAATAAATCTAATTAGTATAGGGTTTATTTATTAAATTTTGAATCTTTAAACATTAATAAAAATAAACAGTGTATGTAAGTGTTTCTCTCTGAAGTTTTAAACTTTAAACAGATAATTTAATTTGACTATACTGATACTTACATACATACATAGTGTTGGTATTAATGAAAGTGACACACAAAATATAGTGTGTATAGTTTGCCATCTTTACACGTGTTACATTTTTTACAGTCTTGTGTTTTATACACACACACAGCTCTAAATAAAATTAAATAAATCACCCTACAAAACTATTGCTATCTGGATTCCTCGTTTCCTTGAACTGATGAATGTGAATACATTATTTCCTCAAACATCCACTCAGAATTATAATAATATAGCGTACATGCAGTTGCTAGTTTGTTAGGCGCAGCTAGCTAATACTAAACTTGTTTAATACATTAGGCCTGCAATAAATCCTACCCTCATAAAGATTCTAATATAATATATAATATATAACAGAGGTTTTGGAGGCTGTCTTTGTGTCGCTGGTGAAAATATGCTGCCTTATCCTGAGACATGTTTCAGTACTTTTGTCCACCTGATGACTGTAGCTGTTGATATTAAACTGGCAACTGAATGTAGATTTGTTCTACTTTGCTTTGATTGTAGATGTATGTTTAAATATAAAGAGTATTGAAACAAGCACTTGTTTGTTTTTGTTAATTTAATTTAACCAGTGTTAATTGTTAATATTATAATTGTCTAAAGTGTCTCAAAATTAATCAAAATGTGTATATAATGTGATTTTGTTGGTTGTGTCTATAGCATATCTGTCTGTCCTAGGGGAAGGGTCCCTCTTCTGTGGCTCTTCCTGAGGTTTTTTCTTTGTTAAACGTGTTCTTTTGAGGACGTTTTTCCTGACCCTAATCGCAGGTCTTAGGACAGAGGTTGTTGTACGTTGTATAGATTGTAAAGCTCCCTCAGGCAAATTGGGCTTTTGGGCTCTATAAATAAAATTTGACTTAATTCAACTAACTGTGCTTGACATGTTCATTAAAAGTAATACGTCCGCACCCTACCCACACAAACATACATGTAAATATTCAAAATAGTCATTTTTAATGCATTTGGTGATGTAAAATGTTTTATATGACATACTGTCTCAAGTTTTCATTAAAGTTTTATCCTCACTGTATTCTCATTTTATAACTGTACCGCTCTTTCTGTCTTCCTCCCTCTGTCTCTCTCTGTCAGCGTTTGTGGTTAGGTCTGTGGTGTTTTTGTGGTCTTTTTGTTTCAGAGACTAGATGAAGCGCTCAAAGCTGAAAGTACAATGATAGCATCTCAGTGAACACTCAGTCTCTCCTCTCTCTCCAGCACACAGGAAAGGGTTGCGCACACTCCATCAGAACCGAGCAACCACCAACTCAGGCGTTTCTTTCAACTCCTCCATCGCACAGGTGTCTGTGTGTGTGTGTGTGTGAGACAGAGAGAGTTCGAGAGACAGACAGCAAGTGATATGCACTTCGCTATAAAACAACTTTTTAGCCTGTTATTTAAGATTAAAACAATAAAGCTTGTTAGCACATACTGGAGGAAGTTCAACAGAAACTGAATATGATGCAAGTATACGCATCAAAGGTAAAAGAAGAAACCAAACCCTCTCACTCACCTACTCAACTTCCGCAAAACACAATATTGGCAATGGATGTACAACGCCCTCTCCAAAACCTCTTTCATACACCTGCACAGAAATCTTTTAGATGTGCGACACAACACTACAAACACTTTGAAACATAGGACTTTTTATTATCTGTGCCCTAGTTATTGGAGATGCATTCAGCGATTGCAAAAGTGCCCTTGAGCAACTGTGTCAAACACTAAGCATCATTAATCTGTGGGTAACTGCCTTTTTGAACTTATCTGTATGTACAGAGGCACTGAATTTATGTAAAAAAGATAATATGTTTATAGATGTGTTTAATAACTGATAATACAGTAACTTTACATCACTTTAAATGATTGGAAATATACAATTTTATTGATTTAACAGAATTATGCAAATAGAAAAATCAACTTTACAGTGCTGTTTTCTTCTAAACAGATGATTCTTAAAAATTGAAAAACACTTAAAAATGCTGTGAAACACAAAAACACAAACAATTACAAAAGAGAGCAAAAGGGAAATGGGAAAATATTTCAATTTAGCTGTTTTGTCGCTTACATGCTTTTTGTATGTATAAACAGATAAGTTTTGGGGAGAGAAACACTACCCTGTTTTGTTCTGATTCAACAATAATCTAAAAATCAAAGCAACTGATCACAGACCTGCTGAGCTGAAAAAGCACCTTGATAAATGATGAGGTCATCTGGATATTGTTAACTGATAAATCAAAAATATTATAGGAGATGTTACATCACAGAGCCTCGATATGAAGTTGGTGTTGCTCTGGAGCTGTCTCGTAATCTGTGTATAGTACAATATGTTACATGTTTACTGCTGTTGAAAACACAAAACTCTTCTCTGACTGAGTGCACATTTCACTGTAAATAAACACAACATGTTGTTTGCAGAGTAGATCTTCAAGCTGAATTGTATCCCTCGGTCCACTGGACATCCGCTCCAAGTGAAGCACTTCAGCCACTACAATCACAGAAGCAACTGTTAGTGTGTATGAAAGATTTTCATATCCAGCATACAATTCATGTTTTATATATAAAATTACACACATAAGGTACATACGTTGAGTTAAACATAGGCTGTAGATGCAGTGCTTTAGGTCGTGTACTTATTCCTAAATGGAGAAAAACAAAAGAAAAAAGTGTCAGTCAATTATAGTACATATGGTTGCAGAAGCAAGATTAAACAAGGAATGTAAAGAATCCACACATTTTCTCAGGATTATACAGAAAAAAAACAGCTATTTTTATCATTTACAGTAATCTTAGTAATATACTTACTTCGCAAAGTGATGCCGACATTTTTTGGGTAGCCCTACAAGCAGGAACGTATTCAAACAAAAGAAAACACGTCAGCGATAGGATAAAATATTTTATATTTATTTATTTTACTCAAACACTTACATATCAAAGTTAATCCAATAGTTTGACAACCATTATTTGCTGCATTGCTTGATATAAATCTCTGCGAAAGGTGTGCTTTTCCCTCCCTGACTTTACATTATCTAGCACACTAAACTGGAGGACTACTCACTGCTGAAGTAGTACAGCGTGCAGATGAGCGCAAGAGCCAGGGCCGCAATAAATCCAACAAATGGCCACAAAATCAGGGAGCCGCAGCCATCTGGAGCAAACACACAACATATTTAGTACATGGTTTTATCTAATTGTATTATAGCTTCTTGCATTGTAGCCAGGTGATATCATCAATCATTAGATGGTTACTTCTTTCCGCACAACCTGTTATTTCATTGTCTGTACAAACTACCTCTTTTATTGCCTTTACATCATCGCAATCTGGCGTAGTGCACAAGATTTATTCCCGGTTACAATACATATAGTCACAGACGAAAGTGTTTATACATCACGAGACACATATAAAGTTAAATTTGTAAGCAGCAAAACGTCATACAAATTATGCATTGCCACAACATACAAGTGCCCCTATTACTTCACAGAAAACTCCTTAATAACTTACCCTGTGAAGTATTCTTCTTAGGGCAGCGACAGCCTGGGTTGAATGGCCTTTTGGGTTTTGTCTCAGGAGGTAATGTTGGAGGGATTACTGTCAGGTAAAGACCAAACAACCATAAAGACAAGTGATAACTAAACAGCAGCAAAATAAGGATGCAAAGAGTCTTTTAAGGAGAGATTAAGGGAGATCCAGAAATTTCGATATGTCAAAGAATTACCCTGACCAGGAACTTATCAACTGATTCTCTCCACAAATGCATCATGTTTATTGTTTATCTGCGTGTAACTCTTCAGTACAGTCTTATTAGGCCAGTGGAAAGTTCTTCTACAGATGTTTCTCTTTTAGCTCAAAGACATTGAATAAACTCGCCACAGGCATCTAAATAGACACCATACACTCACCCATTGTAATTGTCTTATTTTCCATGATCTGAAAACTTTTTAATTCTCATTTTACTCATTTACTGTCGCCCATGTAGACAGGTAACACCATCAAAAGATGTGCTCAACCACAATCCAAAGTAACATCAAACTCTAATATTTATCATGTAATGTTACCTGTTACATGTATACAAGTCTCAACAGAAGCTGTGTTGCGTGCTACTGAGATTGTTTAGAGCAGTGATTCTGAACCTGGGGCCAGGGGCCATCACGGGTCCTTGAGGGAGTTTGAGGGAGTTTTCAGAAAAATGGGGAATTTCACGATTATTTGATTGACTAAAAGTTAGCGAGACTATGTATAAGAATGATTATTCTGTTCATAAGTTTCCAAGACTTCAGAGTTAATCTGGCAATCAACAGTACACAGTTTGTGAATAATGAGATCTCATCAGACAGGGATCCTTGAGACTACATTTAATCATATCAAATACGGGTCTGCAGCCTGATCTGTATCAATTTGAGGGTCATTGAAACCAAAAAAGGCTGAGAATGTCCACTAACTATATGTGATTGTAATCCACTTCTCTTCCAGGTGACAAACTATAAGAAGCCTGAGAGCAAAAAACAAAGAATCCAATGAGGTAATAGTCAAATTTTAAACTATTATTACTTTTTTTGTTAATATAATAAATAACTTTTTAAAAGATAGTAGACAGAGGGACATACTGTGGAAACATGAGAAAATGTGTGAGACAAAGTTACCTTTATGAACTCAAACTGGGGACGCCGCAGTTACATGGTATAGAATAATTTTAAGTCATCTTCATCTTCATTGTACAATACATTTTAATATATAGTGTTAGGTGTCATATTGCACCAGATTTAAATGCAGAGGTTTGAATCAGGAATTTAGCCCCCTAAATAATTAAGTCCTCCGTCTACAATCTGAAATCCGAGAGACGTACCGAAATTCTCCTAGCTGCTTGATATTTAACTGCTGTAAACGAAACGCTTGAGATTTCAGCATACAAACCTCCCGGCTGAAGGAAAGTCCCAGTCTTCCATATTTCTGTCTTTTTCCTGTAGTTAAGAACACAAGAATACATCCCTCTGTCCTCTTCTGTCACATTGTGGATGCGTAGCACAAATGAATGTCCTCTCTTTTCTAATACGTATCGTTTAGGGACCACATCATTCTCAATGCTACCACGGCCTGCGTTGTTGCATTTGCCTAGAAACTGTATTTTGCTGTTATCGGGAACACTGCGGAACCAGTAGGCAGAGTCACACTGGGAGGTACCGCAGTTACAATCGATAGTCACTACACTGAGGATCTCAGGATAAAGCATGTCGGCCTTTTCTTCTTGCAGCATCAGGTCCGAACCTAAGGGTGAAAATAGAGGGATGTTTGAGATTTTAGCAAACACACACGTGTAGTATATTGAGCAACTCTTACAGGTCAGTCACATACTGTTAAGAATTGGTGCTCTAAAACACTTCAACAAAGTCAAAACCCATACTCCCAAGAATTGTGTATTTTCTCAAAAGGGTCAAAAGTCTTGTTTTGATATCTCAGGTCAACTTGTCAATCGTTTAGTGTTTATAAAGGTTTGAGGAAAACCGTTAAGCAACAGTGCATGTCTCTCGTACTTAAAAAAAAAAAAAAGATTAATTGCAAATTAAAAGCCACATCCAACGGATTGTACTTAAAGTTTAGGCAAAAGAAAGTACAAACGTAACTCGCAATATGGTATAGTACACAGCAACTATCACCTAAGTGATGCAAGAATGGAAATACAGCCAAACTATGAAGAAACTTCTTGTACATATTTCAAACTCTGTAAAGGTGATATTTTGAAATTGCCACGTGAGGAGACTGATTTAGCATTTATGCAATGTTGAAGGGATGCCTTCACTGGAAGAGCTATTTCATCTGTTTTTAGTATGAGTTCCAATGCCTATTTTGTGCGTTTTCAAGTCAGGCATGTCGGCATATACCTGTTGCAATCACTAGTCTTGAAATATCTAAATATATGCAGCAAACATTCAAAGGTCTCCAGTGTGGAAAGGTCATGGCTTACTTGCACTTCAGTCATATGGATGATCATTTCATTCTTCTTTGTACATAAATGCACATTTATGCACATATTGTGCGACATTCAAGAATGCACAAAATCGTTTTAGTCTTTATCCAATTAATTGCGCTATACAGTACAAATACAATTAATTTCAAAGCCTTGATGGGGATACAATAGAGGGAAAAAAATTAAATAAATGTATGTATAACATTTTAATTTATATAAAACCTACGGCAGAACGCAAACAGGTAGTATATTGTTACCCTCATAATTTATTATCACTAGACCCTTAATCCAGATTGTACATATTATATTGCTCTAATTACATAACAGTATCAATAACTTATACCAGTATAGCTGTACAATTCTGAGATATATAATTACGGTACCCTTGAAGGCTGCCATTACAGTTTTAATTAAATTAATCAAAGGCTACGGCATTGTACTTGGTCTGTCTGAACTATCGAAGACAAATTTCAGCACAAACTATGATTAAGACTGAATGTGATGACTGTAGTTACGTTAGTCAAGTTAAACATCAGGCAAGCTTAATTTTAAGTAGACAACAACACATCCCTCGCTACAGGCCCCTGACTAAGTTATGATGTTGAGAATGCTGGAGTCTAACAACATAAAAACAACAAACAGAGAAACGTAGTGGTCTTACCTGATCCTGTCCTTAGCAACACCGTCAACAGCATCCATGCCAGCGGCAGTGGGATCATTTTGTCCGGTCGCCAGTATCTGTACTGCTGTGTGAGTTTTGGGTGGTAGCTGAGGGACGGAGCTGATACTTTCTTTTCCTGCTATCTATCTGTCAGAGATGATGGGAGGAACTGAAACGACGGGGCCCTGAGTAGTCAAGGTAACACCCCAATGTGACACACACAGGGCCTATCAGAGTGGGCCATAAGCCAGCCAAGGGGCTTACACATGACACACACACATACACACACTCACACACTACTGAAAATGTGTGTATAACATAAGTGACAAAAAGGGTACCATGTATAAGAGCATAAAGAAATGCTAATTGTCTGATTCTGACATTCTTGACTGTGTTCACTTAAAAGGTAGATACCCAACAAATAACCTCAGACAGGTGGGTTGTTCAGGAGAAAGATGCAGTACAACATACACTGATTATGACAAACAGCTGACATGATGCAACATATCAAGCAATAAGAAAGTTGTATATTGCCAGAGCAGCTGTTTGCAGTGCTGTGGTCTCTGCCCAGGTGCGTGACCTAGAGCTCAGCAGAGTCCTACATACGCTGCTTCATGCCTCACTGCAGAGCACGGAAAGGCAATACCAATGTGCGGAGCCGATACATAAGGTATTAAGTGGAAATGAAGGATCAGTGATTCAAACCCTGATCTACAATGCTGTAGATTATTGCAAAATATTGTCTGGTGGGCGTAAACAGCTTCTTCAGTTCTTTTTTATAACTTGGGGTATAAAGGGTATGAAGACACACCTTGACATAGCAAAACGCGGGGATATTTGTGGGTGACGGACTGAGAAATTGAATAAAACAGTTGAATAGTGAAATCATTCATTCTGACATTCGGACTGAATATATTTCTTAGTTATTTTCACAAACTGAACTAGTTTCCTTCTTGTCATATGAAAGCTTAGATTACAAAAAACAAAAATAAATTGAGACATTTACTTTCTAAAAATTCGAGTAACGTAGAGGATTAAATAGATAAAATGTAGCAGAATGTCTTCACTCTATCCTAAGTGACAATGCTGGGTGACGGACTAACTGGCATGTGAGTTAAAGATCATCCGGCAGTTACAGACACGACACATGAAAAGACGACAGCAAAGGTTTCTTTTAGACAAATCTGACTTTGGAATGAGTCAATTAGTGCTGCACCTATCAATTATTTTTAGCATTTGATAATTGTCTATTATTTGATTAATCATTTAGTCCATAAAATGGCCTTCGCAGTTTCCAAGAGCATAAGGGGACATCTTCAAGTTGTTTTGTCAAATATCAGTCCAGTAACTAAAGGAACTAAATTTATGATATTAAACAGGAAAAGGGATATAATTACATTTGGATAGCTAGAACTAATAATTTTTTATGATAAATGAAAATGTTGATCCGTTTTCTATAAAAGAATTGATTATTTTCAGAATGAATAGTTTTGGTTTGTTGCATTTAGTGGATATTTCAAACAATAAGGCCGATAAGATACACTGCACTCTATCATCGTCATCAATCACACCTATAGACTGTTCCGAGGGACATTACCATTTATGAGCAGCAACGACCTGTGGAGGTACACCGCACTGTGAAGTGTCAAAGAAGCACTTGAGATTACCTTGCAGTTGATCTATCTTACTTAAAACCCTAATTTACTTTACTCCATATTAAAGGTAATATATCCCACCAGCTGTGATTTATATTGTATTTTGGGGGCAGCCATTCTAAAATGAAGACTGACTGTTCTAAAGACTGTTATCCCCAGAACCTATATTTTCCTTGATAAAACTGATGAGCTCTTAAATCTTGAGTGGTGTCTGTGGACTGTTCTGTCTCTGCATTGTTTTGTGTGTGTGTGTGTGTGAAAGGTTAGGGCGTAGAACGGTCTTGTGGGGGTCTCAAAGTGAGAGGATGTGGGAACCCTATCGCTCTACGGGGGGCCGAAGACCCGAGCGAGACAGGGAACGAGACCACAGGATTCTTTGAAAACAGGAGATCTCAGGGGGCTTCAGAGCTGTTCTTTACACATAGCTGAGCTGTAACACCTTTGTTGGTCTCTCTACTCCGACGCTTTAAGTCAAAAGCTGCCTGCTGAGAAGTTTGTCTCTTACTTAATTTCTCTACTCCTCTCACCGAACTATTTTGTTAAAAGTTTAGTATTTTTAGACAACACACTAACTTCATGTGCATGTTACTGTATGTCACAGATTCAGAGGTTTGTTTGGTTCTCACTAAAGAAGCTTTTTATCTTACGGCCTTTACAGAACTTTATCACTTGTACAACACTGGTTCCTCAAAAAGTAATCAATCTGGCATTAAAGTCTTCTCAGCAATTAGTTGGCTCTAATAAAAACACTAGCAAGCTGTTTCATGCATGTTTTTGATTTACAAACGCCTACTATGTCTGGATTCTTGTGATACTCGGTTCTCCTGTTACAAAAAGCCACATAATGTGCACCATTCTGCACTAAGGATCCTAATGCAATCCAATATCTGATATACAGCAATCAACAAAAAGCCAGACTTCAAAGTTAGCTGATATACTGTACATCAAAAACATCTTTAAACAAACAAAAACAAGTAATGTAATAAAAAATAGGACTTTCCTTTAAGGATATTTAATCTCTGGGTCAGGTTACCAGGTTTTCATTGAGTTTGAATCAAGAGTAGGTTGTACGTATTAGACCATCACTTTAGTCTGTTCTGTTCTAGAAATCTAGTTTTTAATAAAGCCAAACTAGCCCACTGTATAGAGCTGCATAAGGAAGAAATTTACAAAACTGATAAAAGTTGCAATGTGGTCCACAAACCACCTAGCCTAGGTTTTTATACTAGACTATTTCAAACAACTCTTGTTTGAGTGGCTCTTTATTAGTCAGTTGAATTAAGATATTTACTTTCACTCTTTTCAGTCACCTTTAAGTACCATAAACCTTTGTTCAATTCCTCACAGACTGCATCTCAACATGAATCTGAAGTTTTTTAAAGAGCTGTCCTCATTCGATCTCTTGCACCTGTCTGACCCCAAACACTTGATGTGCTGGATGAGCAGATACATCCATGACACATGCACATGCAGACACTGCACTCTAGACTAGGGCAATGTCTGAGCACACAACTGTTTAAAATGGTTTTGATGCGCTGCGGTTTGTGCAACAGGCAAAGAATATGTGACAGCTTCATCAACAATCAGTCCAACATGCGCTCTACATGCTCTCTGCATCTCTAATAGCCGTCTTTCAGTGTGCTTCTGAGTGAAAGCACACTGAACTTCAAAAGAAATGAAACGACAAAGCTGCTAACATCTATGGGCTTTTATTCGCTTTACTGGTGCTCTGAATGAAGCTCAACAGCGCCAACCGCAGGCTGCCACAGGGTTCACAATCTATCAAATCCTTGTCAGAAGCACAGATACATAATTTAACTTATTGATGTATTAGAGGTCAAAAGGACTTCATCATTTTAAATGATAGGCAAGAAAATAAAAGAATATTAAATTTTACAGGCAACAATTATTAACAATGTGCAAAGTAATTCAACAAAGACCTATTAAGTGTCATAGTGAAAAATAAAGCTATTATAGATGTAGATATGTGTGAGAAACCTCTCCAACACTCTGAAATGAGAGGAATCCATTCATTCCTTACAAACACAAATTGACTAAACATGGCTAGCCAGCTAGCACACCTCTAGAGAACACACTTGGGCTGTCAGTGCAGAGAGTAAAAACTGCTTTGTTAATGGCTATAAAGATTATGTTAATGTACAGTTTGAGATTTCCAATCTCATGCGAGTGATCACTTCATGTTGTGCCTAAATATCAGCAGTTCAAAAGACTAGTTAAACTGGGCCGTCTGAGTTTAACAGCCTAGAATGGAGTCGTCCCACAGCTTCTCCTCTTCTGTCCTAGTATCTACTTTCTCTTTCGTTTTCTTCTTCTCTTTCCTATGTTTGGATTTGGCTGGCCCATCCTGTCCACCATCCCCTTGCTCAACGTTCATTTCAGCCTGAATATGCACTTCAGTTTCTTTTCTATTGTCCGTCATATCTTCTGCCATTAAATTGTCCATCACCCTTTCCCCTCCTACTGCCTCAAAGTCCTCCTCTCGGGATTTCTTATCTCGTCTTCTCCGCTTGCCATGATTTTTACACTTTTTTCTCCTCCTCTCTTCCTCTGACTCTCCGGATTCCCCTTTTCTCCTCTCCTCTGACTCTTTATCTCTTTCCCTCCTCCGCTGCTTTCTCCTCTTCTCATCTTTGTCTGAGTCCTCATCTCTTGCCTTCTTGTCTCTCTCCCTCCTCGATCTTCTAATCCTCCTCTTTTTTCTGCGCCTGTCTTCATTATCACTGTCACTTGTGCTACTGCTATAGGAGGAGGAATACGAGGAGGAATAGGATGATGAGGTAATATATGAGGAGGAGCTTGACTGCTTTCTGCGCCTCCTTCTCTTTAAGGGTCGACTAATGAACAGTGGAGAGCCTGGGCCTGGAAGGACTGGAGGAGGGCACTTGTAAACCAAGTCGTGGGATGGCCAAGAGGGGTCCTGATATGGAGGATGCCACCGTTCAGCTGGGTTGTAACAACCAAGGCGGGAGTGATGAGGAGGGTTAGAGGTGGGAGGGAAGTTGGGAGCAGGTTTGTTCAGTTCTATGATGTCGCCCTTGTTTAATACTTGCTCTTCTTCTTCATCTTCCTCATCCTCGCCAGCCAGAGCATGGGCTTGACCGGTCTTAGGGGTGATTCCACGAGCCTTCTGAACCTGAATGTAATCTGACAGTTCATCTGCAAATGTGCTGTAGTTTTTTTGTTGGGAGTTGCACAGGTCAACGACCTTCTTCTCCCTGGTCAAGAAAATGTAAACAGGAATAATGCTGATATCAGCAGGCAACATAGACGTTAGGTGACATAGCTTTTTCACAGCGGCCATTTTGACATGAAATAGTAGGCTAAACACTGGTGTTACGATGGTTTTACTTAATTAGCATCATTGGTAACATCTGTGTTTAACCAACTATATCATGTCAAAATGGCTGCTGTGAAAAGAGTCTGTGTGTATCTGATTGGGTGTATCAGAAAATCACTGAATGGAGCTTTAATCTAGTCAAAGGTCTACAGAGGAAAGTTTGACGTGCAGTGTAGCAGAGATTCCATTTTCAGTGCAGTATAAACTATGACACAATGACAGTGGACGTTGTGTTTGTCATGAAATTCTCAATCTTACCTTATTTGGTGTTTGTTTCCCTGCATGTGAGCTTGGTACATCTCCACAGAGTTAAATTGCACGCTACACATCTGACACATGAGGGAGTTGGCTGTAGGCAACAGAAAGAGGGTGAGGTGGGAAAGGAGGGAAGGTGGCATAAACGATCAAATAATGGCTTACAAGCACTTTAATATACAGCTTGTAAGTTTCTAACATGCATCAAAATAATATTTGTTTAACATTTTTGCATTTGGGAGTCTTCAAGTTTTCTCTACCAAGAATACCATTAAAAAAAAAATTAGCATAACCACAGTCAGACTAACTGCCTCTTGTCAACACCTGTTTATTGTCAGACAGTTATAAAGCTAACACCTACCTGCTAATCTCCTACCTTCAAGCTAACCCTGATGGGATGAAATCTTCATAGCTGAGGGCATTTGCCGTTTCAAATATCAGTGTGATCTTGGTCGTTTGGGCTGTATTGGGCTGTCATACTGTTGCCAGCTTCCAATGATTTTATTTGTCACCTTGAATCTCAGATAGATTAATAGACACTGGGATATAGTGTGTCTAACAAAGGACAAATGTGCCTGAAAAAATATTTTTCATCACATCAATATTGTCTTATAAAATACACTCAATAGTGTAATGTGCAACTGCATCCCTTTGTATGATACTGCTTAGCTGAGAGGCGGGATCCTGTGTTACCTTGTTGGACATCATCTCCAAGCTCTTTGAGCAGCTCCTGTCTGGTCTGATTCCTCTGGTGTTTGCGTCCATTGTAGTGCTGTAAAGCCATTTGGGGATTGTTGAAGGAAGCAGCACACAGGGCACAGTACTTGTTTGGGTCTTTGAGATCAACCTCGGTGCTGGGGGTTTCTGTGGTAGCTGTCGGGTCCGGACGCTCCTCCACAACATCCTCTGGGACTGATTTCTGGTCCACATTATCAGGATCCCGAGTCAGACTTGGTAAAGTATTCACCTCTGCGTACCTGTCTATAACTGCAATGAGAAATCATTAATTTAAGTTAGTTTTTGTTAGTTTTTTGACCTTCTGAACTTAAGCAGAACTTCAGCAGACAGTTGAATCATACTTTTAACAAACTTTGCTGTTGTTCTGTAGATATTTAAACCCAGATCACTATAATACTTTTGCATCACACAACCCACACTTGCCTGTGGGTTGAAGACCTTGTTTACGAAGATTTTTTGCATGGACTTTGCCTTCATAGTGTGATCTTGCCACCACGTGGGAACTAAACACCATGTTACACAGCTCACAGAAATGGTCCTTATCAGTAGTCATGCTCCGCTGCAAAAAACATGAGACTGGGATGTCAAAAAACAGATATATGCTTCCTGACTAGGGGTGTAAGAAAATATTGATATATACTGTATCAATATTTAAACTTAAATCCTCAAGTGCTAGACAGCCGTGTTGTAAACTGGGGATCCAACCTGGGCTGCTGGAGTAAAGACTTCAGCCTTAGTACATGGGATGCAAGCTCTACCAGGTGAGCTACTAGCTACCCAGAGTACTTTATTGATTCAGATTTTATGCATATGGGGGTGAGATTTTTTTAAATTGCAATATATCGCAATATACTGAACTGTAACCCTGTATCACAATGCGTATTGGACCTGTACATTTTTGCCAATACACAGCCCTATTCCTGACATAATATGTAAATAATAAAGAAGAAAATAAGAAGATGTCTTAGAAAATCACAATTTCTACCATATTACATATTTTAAATATACTCTCCACGGCAACCTACGGTTGCTTGTATTAAATTCAAAATGTCTATGCTGGTACTTGCGTTTGGGACTTGGTACATCCGTGCCTATGCACCAGTCTAAGCTCTGCATCTTCTTGTTTGTGCACCTCTCTCTCATGGATAGATCTCTCCTAGATCATATTCTATTGAGAAGAACATAAAGCTATGACCGTAAGACTCCTTACTGTTATGACACTTGCAGCATTATGGTTTATGTTCATTCGTTTGCTACGCTCATTGTCCGTCTTTACAGATTAAGATTACACCTAAATGTGTAAAGAGTAAAATCTCTGAATGAGTGCTAACCTGGGGTCCTGTGGTGTCTGTGTTCATCTTCTCGGCTCTCTTGGCCTGCAGGTACACCCTGAGTTTCTGAGCATGTTTCTTTCCCTGCAGTGGGGACGGATACGGCAGAAATGATTACAAATGCTCCCAAAGCAACAGTTCCATGACTAGTTCTGGAAAGCAGCGCACACCTCATAGTGGGACAGCCGCTGAGATTCAAAGAGCAGCACAGCCTCGCACACATGGCAGTAGTCGTCAGTGAGGAGACCCTTTAGTAGCTCCTCTTCGCTCTGGTCTCCTGTGAGGCAGAAGGTACGGTCACCGTTACAATTAGGCCACAGTGAATTTTGTGGAAGATTATTTAAGTATGAACAAGGAACGGACTATTCATTTGAGAGGAATTAAAAGCATATTTAACTTTTTCACATACATAATACAAACCTATGTTAGATATAAGTAAAGCTCTGTGCAAGAGCTATATTAAAACAAATCTGACTGATGCTCTTGTGGCTCCACACTAGTTTCTGGTTTTTCTCTAACAATTAGTTTTTGAAACATTTGTAGCTGCAAAATCAAAAAACCTAAATGAAATGCTAATTTATAAACTTTTCCTTGTACAACTTCCTGTACAATAGAAAATGCAGTATCTTAGATGAATTGCATACATTTCTACTGAATTCTACGCTCCTACGCCCTTGAGACCATATTTAAAGCAAGGCAATATCCATTGTCTAACATAATTTATATATTGTTTAACAAAGTATTCTTTGGGATGGCAGTAAACTATAAGTATACCTGAATTTCCATAAAAATTGTATTGTTCCCACTCAACACCAACCTCTTACAGTCCTATGCTTGTATCATATATTGCTACAGTGTGAGAAAATTAAGCTTTCATGCTAGACTGCTTTCATTGTGCTTGTCCAATATCTCATATTCATTTTCCACTGCACTTTCTGTATAGCATCAATAAAATATATCAGGCTCTGCTCACTTTCAGTTCGAACTCGATTATTTAGGACTCAGATTTTTGTAACATGTTGCAACATCTCTGTGGATGAATAATCCTCATGACAGCTCAACTCTTTGGGCAAATATTTGATTATGGGTGTGGCTATTTTTCTAAAAATGTGATGAAGCAGTGTGTCAGTTTCATTCTTAGAGATTCTATTCAAATGACATATGATCAATCAATTTACATCAATAAATATGGACTGAGGTATTCTGTGAAAATCTATTTATTTACATGCTTGCTGGCTGCCCTGATGCAGTATGAGCTAATCAGGGGACACGAATGGTAAATATGCTTTTATGACTGGTGGTGAAATTATCAGTTAGGGTTAGTGTTGTTAGTCTAACACATTACGGATTTTAAATTAATTACCTTCTTTTATTTTGAGTAACAACTATTTGTTAGTGTCTCATCTGCAAAGATGTGCTTGATGTTCTTTATGATGATCAGCTGTCACTGATAAATCATTGACCAGATCAAAAAATAATATATATATTAAGTACAAACCTGAGGTTAAGAAATAAGTCACTGGAATTAAGGACCATGATGGAATAATTTCAGAGTCCCAATATTGACAGCCTACATATATAGTGTACTCGCCACATTTTAACTAACCAACTCCTCCACTGTAATACAATAAGACAACACTGAAATACAGAATCTCCCTCTGTATCAATGTAAAATAATAATAATACAGCCCAAATAAACTATGTACCGACATGAGTAAAACAATGTCTAAACACTGTATATGCTGTCTGCTGATACATTTCAAATATTGTACTTACCAAATGATAATCACACTGGCAGTTAACGAGAAAACAGAGACCGTGGGTACTGTTTCTCAAAGTATGTGCACGAAGTTTGTATAACAGAAAATGTTTTCTATTCACACCCTTACATTGAACTTGTTTTATTCTACTGGTAAGCGGCGCCACCGAGTGAGGATCACATGGCCATTTCTCACGTTAGACTGAAGGACACTTCAGCTGATGAGGTCTTTGATCTTCAAACTAACATCCAACCTGAGAGTACTTTTCCCCTCACTTCAGACTAGATGGTGTACTGCTTCATTGTATTGCAGTTAATTTCTTAGACTGGTTAAACAACGTTACTGTCTGAGTTACCATCTATTGCCAGAGAGGGGGTAAAATGAATGTCACTCACTATGTAGGATCAAGTTATTTGGTGGCCTACGTTCCTAAAACACGTGTCGTGTTATGTGTCTAATTGAAATGGCCGAACAGCTGTCTGGTTGGGATTAGCAACTGGCTAACCACTTCCGGACCTGGGAAAACGAGCAACCTCTTAACTTTGTATACTTCCATTATCAGGCTGGTTTAAGTATTAAAAGGGTGTTTTAGTGGGCGAAACCTTTTTTTTTTTTTTTACGAGTTATGTACGCACAGACCGGTGTACAACACTGAGCAACTCCTAACGTCACAGCTAACGTTAGACAGTTGACAAAGCGTATTTAGCTAAGGAGCTAACTTAGCTCATCCGACTGTTGAGCGGGCTAGCTAGTTAGCTAAAAGCTAACGGTGGCTCGGTAGGTAGGACGTCGTACGGCTGAATTTGCATGTTCTAGACAAAACTCACCTTCAACCTGGGTACTATCTGTTTTAGTGTTTATTACTTTGTCAGCATCTGTGACAGAAGCCGCGTTAGGGGTACTAATAGTGTTATTTTGAGCGTCTGACTCTGCAAGCAGCGGAGAACAGACACCTCTGGCGTCCATCTTTTTTTCCTAGCTGTTTGGTGCATGCGCAGTGGCGCTGTAGTACTAATGGCGTTTGCTTTGAAGGGATAATCATTATTAGTAATTATTTATAGTATTATAAGTATCTTACCTAAATCAAACTCAGTTTATGAACTTACTGGACTACTCTGTGTTTTCTTATTATTCAAATTGATAAATACAGTGTTGGAAGTTTTGTAGCCTACACTGTTGACCCCTTTTTATGAAAAACCTAACAAATAAATGTAAAATTAAAACTAATGTAACCCCCCCGTCCCAAAAAAATAATAAATCAAATTCCAGTGTAGTGTATTTGAGTTTTTGTCAATAAGCCGTTTTTATTTGTTCTATTCTAGTGGCCCAGTAAGCCATGACAGTAAGCCAGCATGCACAATACCAGGACCCTGAGACCAAAACAGCTTATATAATTCAACCACCATGCATTTTATTATTGTTTTGCTACTTCCACAACATCTATGGTTCCTACCATTCCTTTATTTACTTGACATTATTATACACACTATGCCATAGACAATTTTGGACACCAAAAAATGAAAGAAAGTTAATATCAAAAAAGGTACTTTATTATGGGACATTGTAATTTCAACATTTGTTTGCCACTGGGGAAATCCATGTAATGCTGGAAAACAAATTTACTGACAACTCCATGAAATAGATCATCATAAAGTTATTTCACACAAAGACAAGAATACAGAAGAAGAGGGTAGAAAAGCAGTATAGGGTGGAGAGCTGTCACTTCCTCTTCTGGAGCTCTCTGGCTAAGGCATCCAGCTGTGAAGAATGATACAGTATAACATGATAGTCAGACACACTATACACTATGCTCGTAATGTACAGCTATTGTACAATGTTTTGCAGTTATGTCCAGTGTATATATATGTTGGGCATTAAGTCAACAAGGTGGCATCTGTGTACAACCTGCTCCCATACAGCACTGGATCGGGTACTTACAATGATATTTCTCAGAACATTCCTCCTCTGAGGTCTCAAGTAGCTGCATTCTCCTGCCTCACACAGCTTAATCTCCTCCGAAATCTGAGACACAGAGAAGAGTAACGAGGTAAAGAACATCTACATTCTCAACAGGAAATGTCCAGTGAATAAGAAAACACACACAAACACTGATACCAACCTCTGACGTGCCAAAAGAGTCCAGTTCCCTCTTGCCTCCGGGGTACCAACCATGGGACCAGTGCTGGGCGTTGGACAGCTGAGCCCCCACACATAGAAGCAGCCCAAACAGTAAAACCAGCCGAGATACACACATGATATTCCCACCTAAAGGCAGAGATGGACGATGAGTTAGCTCTGAGTATAAGAGGCTTTATTGTCTTTGATCCTTTGGTATCTGATTTAGAAAATCTAAACAAATTGCAAAGTGTTCACATGATTTTCATGTAAATTGCTGTCATTATATTTTACATCAGTTGCTTGGCATCCTTGATTTTGCTTTTCCTGCAATAAAAAACTCAATAGAGTTGACCATATAGCAACAATATCAAGACATTCAGGCTAAGACACAGTACGAGGTTTAATATTTGGACTGAATTATTTGACAGCAATTTTTTTTCTCATTTGACTGTAGTAAAAATAACAACATCAATGGCCATCATTTTTAGGACTTTCAACATTCATTGCCTGTTTTCCCCAATGTCCTGCTGTGATAGGCCAAATGTCAGGCCAAATACTGAAAAATGCTCATAAAAATATAAAATCTTACAGCAGTTTAGCACGAGAGACAACAAGTTTCAGGTAATAATAATCACCTTCTATTAAAGCTAGGTCTCCAACAACATCCACTGTAATATTAAGATTACCAGTGTATATTTTAGACAGAATACAGTAAAGCTATGTAGAAGTGTAAGTAAGTGTCCTTACCTTGGTCTCAACTTTATCACTACAGGTGTCCCAACGTCCCACCAGGAGCTCTCTCTGCTTGTCCTTCAGTTGGTCAGTTTCTGAACGTATCTCACAGTTCAAAGTGTATTACTGTTGAGATTCTCTTCAACCTCGTCCTCCTCCTCAATATATGTACCACTCTAAATAGCTCCCCTCCCAACACACATTTCTATATCCAATCCTTAATGGTCCCGCCCATCACTGACCCCACTGGTCCCTCTGTCCCCTGTGGTGAAATGAACGGTCCCTGTGGACAAGAGGTCAGAGGACATGGCCAATTCCAATTATCACTTGTAAACAGCGTTGGCCCCTGGGATGTTCATCTGCTCACATACACCACCCATATCTACTTCCAAATACTGCCACTTTCGCTGAGTAACTGATTTCATTCATTCAGTTAACAGATAAATGGCCAACAGTATTATTCATGTACACTTTTTCTGCAGCACACAGACTTAAAAAAAGAATCTCAAAATGTGTCAAAAGTGCCCAGTTCCAAATCAATATATATAATTGAATATATATTCAAACATAACTCTATAGTCTAATAGTCTGGGCACTTCTTTGACTAATAGTATTTCTCAGATTCACAGATCAAACAGTAGATCCTTGTCAGGAAGTAAAACTTTAATAGTTCCAATCTCCTCTCTTTTTGCACCTACTTTGACCACAGTGACCCATCACACATCCTCCCTCTAACCCAGATGACCCTTCAGTCAGCGGAAACACAGATGACAAGGGGAACAAACACGGTGGACTTCTGCCCAGGCCACTGATGACATCCCTCTCAATTAGAGAGGAGGAACGGTATTTCCTTTTCAGAGTTTTAGATGCAGAACCAGTTGTTACTCAGGCAGTGACTTGCAGTGTGACTTCCTGCTGTTTGGTTCCAGGGATTGGTTGAAGCAAGATGGCTCCATGATGCGTCACTGATGAGACATGATCCCTGTTCCCAGACTCACCTGTCAATGTGAAGAGCAAAAACCTCCTCAGAAATCTGTCAATGAACATTAAAGTTTTACATTATATTGATGGGTGGCTATATTGTTATGTGCCATTTTGTATTCTCCAGCACACATTCAAGAGATACAAACCAATTGTAAAATCATGTTAATAGTCATGTAAGTTTAGTTTATTTCAGAGGTCTGACCATCATTTTTTTTTACTACTTTTACTGGGTCCGGAGCTCTTACAGCATTAATTCAATATAACTGATTGTTGAGATGCAAAAACATTTCTTGAATTTCTTGTAGCATTTAACAGATATACAGTGAACCCACTGCTGGTATGCATGTTAAATTAACCCTCTTTTGACCTGCTCGTAAGACAACTACAGATTGCAGTTAACAATGAAAGGCCTGTCACTAAATAGTGTATTAATGCATAAAAGAAACCAGTGGATCAAAGTTTTCCATCTTAAATGTACCTTTGCACTCACAAGAAAAATATTTTCAAAAGAATGGTCCAAAGATATCCATAGTTTCTAGTATGATCCTATATTTCCCTTAATGCAACTTGATATCATCTTTCCTTATGACCTCCCTGCCTCAAATGCTCAGTTCTGTCAGTTTCTTCACTTTGTAAACACAGACTTTGTGTGTAAGAATTGAAGTCACAAGCCAATGCTGAGATAACCCTGATGATGTCATGAAAAGCATGAAAGAGCCTGGCTGTTCATGTGGAGTGCGTTTCTCCACGCCGGCCATGACGAGATTTTGCTCCTCTGCTCTTTTCCAATCACATGTACAGCTGATCTTTATCATAACCTCTTGAATAACAGGTTCATGAACAAGCAGGGTGTTGCTTCTTCTGCAACAATTAAGTTAAAAGGCCCCGTTGTGCAGGTTTCTCCTGCCTGTCTGTGTGTGTCTGTCTGCTTGTCTCTCGCTCTTTCTTTAGACACAACTGACAAATATGTGGAGTAAGTGAAAAACATATCATAAACAGCAGTGATGATCTTTTATCATTCCTCAGAATGAATTCAATGAGAATTCTTCAGAAAGGCTAATTAAAATAGTTATGATTATAATAAGTTTGCTTTCAAATCAAACAGCTTAAGATACGAGAGTATTGTTGCAATTAGTAGAGTGCCCTTTAAAGTCATTGTTTAGATTTATACTGAATATCTTTCCATCTTTCTATCTATAGTTTGACATTTCTGCTGAGTTGGTAGACTGCTGTGCATCCAAAACCCAAAGAAAGTGTAAGACCACCCCGCTGAATAATATTCAATAGCAATACCATCGTAATGTAAACCTAATGTGTCCTAAAATGTATTCCAGGTATTACTGTCCACAAAAACATTTCTACAGTAACCCTAAATTATTTCCTGATTAATTATTTAAAGACACAAAAAGCACATTATTTGATCGAGGGTGAAAGGTTAAACACTGAAAACCCTTCAAGAGCAACACTCAAGAGGACAGCCTGATCTATAAGGTACATGAAGGATTGAAGGATTGGCAATTATTTTGGATCACTGTACCATTAGTCTTCATTTAGAGACAGGCTGTAATGAGCATCAGGTTGTCCCGACTTGGACACATGACGCAACTGCACTTATGTGTTTTAAATTACATTTAAAGACATAATAAACACAGACAAATCATAAAATCTCAAGCACTTTATTAGGTTTGAACAGTATCTTGCTTAGAAAGGCCATTTGGCATTATATAATTATATATAATTTTATCATATATATAATTATATATACATATATTCAAATGTTGAATAACAAAACACTAGAAACAAACATAGGCAAATTAAAAATTAGGATTTGCTTAAGACAATTATACCAAATTAAAAATGGCCAAAACAAAACATCTCTAATACATTTCAAAATGGTCCCGATACAGTTCAATATACATCTTTTAAAAAGGAAAAAAAAAGAAGGGGGATTAGAAAATAAAATTAGCAAGGCAGCAGACAGGAATGAAATATAAATAACCTTACATTATGTACAAAGGGGAGTGGGCAGTGACCACTGGGATAAAATGGTCCAAAGGACAAAGTGAAAGATGAAAAGGAAGCAATAAGAGGACAGCAGTGAGTGGAGCTGGATAGGAGACATAAAGGACAAATAAAAGGTGGAGAGAAGAAGAGCAAAGTTGGACTCCGGTCTTCCTCAAGTCTAACGCTCTAGAAACAGAGAGATGTTTTGCTTTTCCGGGGCATTCAAAATGCTCCACTGGGATGTGAAAGAGGGGACAACTGCTTTCCCTAGGAGATAATGCATAAAAGATGCAATTGTAATTGTTGTGGGAAAAATTTATAATTGTTTAGTTGAACATTCGGGTACCCACAATTGATTACTTGTCATGGATCCCACATTTAAAGTGATATGGAATGAATTGAAGCCATTAAATCAAATCGAATTTAATTAAAAAGTGACCTAAATGTTAATTTGATCTCCACAAACAAGGTATGTACGTCTATGCTACTACAGGGAATGTGAAAGGAAGGATGACTGACCCAGTCTTGGTTTTGGCCCTACTGATTCGTCATACAAATTAGTGACAACGGTACCACCACATGTTGTATGTAAAGTTGAGAAAATTAAGATTATTTAATATTTTTTTTTTTTTTTTAAACATACCAGTGAGGCACTTTTTAAGTTCACTATAATAGCAAAATAGTGCGTCTCGTGGATTGGCACAGTGTCGTGTTTTGCTGTCAGACTGCAGTGTGACAAAGTGATCACAGGATCCAAACACACATTAAACCCATGTAACTGAAGCACAGACAGAACAGCCAAATGAAAAGCATCCCCTCTACAGACCCAATAAGCAACAAAGTAAATAAATCAAGAAAAAATTGGCACCTAACTAAGAGTGCGGGCACTTGTGACGCTTTGGAACGAAAGAAGACCTGAAATGACGATGACGATGCACAAACAGCCAACAGTTTCAGTGACTGGTCAATTCAAATATCTGCTACTTTAAGTCCCTGCAGGGGCCTTTTTACAGAAGACCTGAAAAAGCTTCTAAAATGTTCCAATATAGTTCCCATACTCCAATATCAAAGGCCATATCATCATTCTGACCTGATCTCTTATTTGGTTCTGTATTTCTAAGGGCTTTGCTTTTGGTGTAAATAGTGCATGAGTGTTCAAACAATCAACATTGACGCAATGACCCTTCCTGATAATTCAGCATGTACTTTTAATGATGTCCACTTTCAATAAATTAAATCTGATTGTGCTCCTTTTCTTTTAGTTTAATGCATTTGTTACTGTGATGTACATAATGTACAAGTATGGGGCTGTTTTCAGATAAAATCTACATTTTAAAAATAATCTCTTGAAGAAGTCCTAAAAGGAATATAATTTCCAATATCATGGCATAAAATATGTTACAATTTGGGCGTTATATGTTAAAACCACTTAAGCGTGAGGCGAGTGGAGATGGACTCAAGCTGAATTTGTTCAATTTGAAAATTTAAACAATCCTGGCATCAGTCATTTCCTGAGCTGACTGAGTTGAAATAAGGACTGACCTGAAAGCTCTGCGGTTAACTGACATGATTAAATTTTCATTACAGTCATAAAGGGCAGGGCCTCAATCGTGACCTCATCTAAAAAACAAGCACTGTAGTTCAAGTTTAAATGTCCTCACAGGACTAAAAAATACAAAATAAATCATAGCAAAAACGCATGGCACACCTCCACTACTAAAGTAAGTAAAGTAACAATGTATCCATTTTTGAGGAATATGTTAGCAACAGCATTCGAATAAAAATGAACATTCTTCAGCATTAGTGTTCATGGTGGGAAATGACAGTACAGTGGAGTGATGCGAGGCAGATATTAAAAAAAGGAAGAAAGCAGACTCAAAGGAAACCTATACAGAAAAGAAATGCTCAATACAATCTACAAGAAATACTGACGTGTGTCTGTAAACAAGAAAAGAAATATGCTGTGTATATAGCATTTTGTTGATTTCTATGATGCAATAATTGAGTTACTTTGATTGTGTTTTGGTTTGTCAACATGACCAACATTGCTGCTGATACTGTAACAGACCTTAAAATAAAATAAAGAGATTTTACATTAAAGCTTGACCATTGCTCCTATTCCTTAAATT